TATCAGCACTCAAACAACGTGATCCGTCTCCCAGAATGTATGGTAACTACATGTCAGGATAAAGTTTATTGTCTGAAGACAGTTTCCTCTCTTAAAATGGAAGTTTTCTTATGAATACGTAATGTCGAAGACTGAAACAAACTACAAAATTTGGCCAAAAAGTTTCCTAGTACGTGTCGTCTGAGGAAACATTACGAAATTAATGATGGCGGTAAGGGGTTTATTACCTTGCCGAGCCGTAACGCCACTTCATTAAATTAATTAAGAGGATCGGATACTTCAGAAACGAAATCGGAGACGTCGCACTAGGACGGAGACGCGGGGGACTTTCTTCAGTTGGGTTATACTACTTCGGTTTTTCCGACAAGCTGTGAATTTACAACAAAGTATCGCAGAGGCGTTTTCGATTCCAATAAGCGTGGAAGTGCAACATTTTACTCGGTCGTTTTGAAGGGATGATGTTAAAACAGGCGCCCGACCACCGCGCTAGGATGAGAATTACTAGGTTAATTTAAGTGCCGGTGATTGCGTTGACATTTTACGAGATAGCAGAAGCGTTATCGCGGTATAACAAATGAGTACAGTGTTGTTAGTCTCTCATTTAAGACGGGGAGTTCCGGTCGTTTGTTTTAATAAAAGTGTAAAGTCCGGCGCTCCGCTCCGCGTCTGTCGCAAATCAGCGAAAGAATAAATATTAGAGGAGCGGCCTGCCCCGAAAATCTAAGTAGATGAGGAAGGTTTAGAGGGTCATGACGCTATCGTAAAATTTTACGAGGAATTCCGCGTTCTGCAAGGAAAAATTCCACGGGCCGTGTGAGGTTATTATTTGTAATGGGAATTGAGAATAGTGCGCGCGTTTTCGCTGCAAGCAGATGGCCTGTCTGCTCCAGGCTCGAACGAATTTCGCATACCGGCCTTTGTACCGGTGAAATATGGTCTACGAAGAATGCTCCTTTGTCTCATTAAAATTTACGCGGCAGGTAATTACTACACATAACTGCAATAAAATCTATACCGAATTCGCCGCAACTTCTTTTGCATCGATTTGTCGGTAAAGTGCTCCATCGACACCGCACCGCCGCTACCCTTTCCGAAGTGTTTTATGGCTTTCTTGTGTAACGGTGTTGTATCCGTAATGTCTGACACGCACCCGTACCGGCTGTTTTCCCCGGTTAAAATTTCACAAACTTCAACGGCGGAGTTCGAATTGAGTCAAACGCCGCGTTAATTATTCACTCGATAAAAAAATTACGGCCGTTGTAAAGTTTGCTGCTTTGTCTTCGCGCTTTCTTTCGCTAAGCTCCAACGTCTTTCGAATTTAAATAACAATTGTAGCCGGCTTTGATGGCGAAGTTTAGGCCAACTGCAATGGCGCGTTAAGCAGGATATCCTGCGAGGATATTACGGTCCGGAGGATAATTCTATAACTCACTCCGGTGCAGCGGGCCCGATGCATATCGACACGCTTTACGCCAAATTTACCAAAACTGGTGTATTTCGACTAATTTTCATTTCATATACACCGTTCGGTCCATCATCACTGCTTTCATTAAGACGAGAGGCAGGTTTGAATCAGGCGCAATTTGTTGCCCTAAATGCAACCAGCAATTCTTCCTGAAATATACCCGGGCTGAAGAGTGTATTATTAGTGAAGAAATACAAATGTGAGAATTCCTCTAACTGACCACCTATCTGCCACCCACCCAATTTGTCCTCCCTCAGGAAGATGGCTTGTAAAGGGTCGATCCCAACCCATTACTTCGAGAAAAGTATCTACTTACCAAGATTTATTTATCACCGGGAAATAACTGTAGTGAATACAAAATTGCAACTTTAGAAAAGCGGCGTAATTTATTTGGATCCCTTGCTAGTTACTGTCACTTTACTTGACCCGGTGGGAAGTCGTATCCTTATAATGAATATTTATGAGATGTTGCTGCTACCGCTATTAAATGATGATACACGTCAAAATCATGAGCCAGATAATTTCTTGATAAACCTCAAGCGGAGAGTGTTTCAATAACTGAGGATGGAGCCCGCAGTCTAGACTCAGAGTTATGTAAATTTCAGCAGACCAGAACTATCGCTAACTCGCCGGTGTAGACTTGGATTGTCTTTGTGTTTGCCTAATTTCCATTTTAATTGCATTATTATACTTTGATTAGTATTTCATCTATATGTTAAAACAATTCGCGTGTGCATGACTTAGGAAAATCAGGAGTGACAGCGTTTTTTGCAGAAATTACACTCGAACTCTGCTTTCGAGTCAAAAGCTTACGACGCACCATGTGCGAATCCGCATTTACCACAAATTCTTTTAGAAAACACGCAAACGAGTTTTAACAGATATAAAATTCATCAGTAATTATAGTCGTATTTAAAACAGTGAACCAACCAAATAAAAGCTGTGTACATAAAACAAAGCGAGCGAAAATAATTTCATTTGTTTATTTACAACAAACTGAAATTTTAATTAACGATGTCAGCGTTGTTTGTATTTATTTGTTTATATTTTAATACATTGCAAGTCTCGTTCGAAATTGATTTTGTTATTTTTAACTTCGCTACCCATTTTTTGCGAACCATTGCAGCTTTCAAGAGCGCAGTAAACGGCTCTAACGTCAACAACAGAAACCTCAGATTGCTGCAAGATTTTATTTGCATCCCGTCTTTCCTAAATGCATAAATAACGGTTCCGTTGGCATCTAGGTAACACTAAGTTCATAATGCCAGTCATTGTTTGTTTTGTTACGACCGGAACAGGATTGTGCGCATCCTTCGCGCAGACGAAAGCTTTAAGCTGAGACGCGATAAAAAATTCACCTTCGAAACGTAGAACAAGCTATTTGCTTCATTTAGATATTCCGCGTAACAGAAAAATAGAACCTAAAACTTTTACTGTAAATTGAATCACTAACGCTCTTTCCGGCACAAGATAAAAAACATGGACGGCTTTAAGAGGCGAACACGTGACGTGAAATGGAAGTTTTTTGAAACTGTAAACAACTTTATGGTGAAAGAAAAAGTTACTATTAAGAGAACGAAAGTGGAAACAATTTTTCAAGCGGAATCATCAAAATATGCGTCCGAGACAGAGCTCAAATTCCCCCGCTAACTAGCAAGAAGTGGAGTTATAAACTGTAAAGAAAATTTTTGTTGAACGATTTCATTAAGAGATAAACATTTTAGCCATTCATTTCGTGTTTACGACTTCGTTTCGGGGGAATTTATAGAAACGGTAATTAACCGCAAAATCTCCGCTTCCGGAGAGTAATGTCTTCTGATTATTTTCTACCTATTAATTAATTATTCTACATGACGATAAGGGCGAGAAAACGGCTCATTTACATGGCAGGGTCGAGAAATGTTTTTGCAAAGATAACAAATTAATTAGGTAAAACAAGGATAAAACATGTTCCGCCGACTGCGTGGCGGTTGCGGCGGTATCCCCTTTTATAAACAGTTACGTTAGATGGGGAAATTAATTTATTAGTTCTTGTTCTCGGTGTTTTGCGAGGGACAATTATTATGATATATTCTGCCGAGGAATGACTTTGCGAACTCAACTACGGGACGAGTTTGCTGTCGGGGACAATTAAAAATTGACTACGAGTGCCACTCCAGTCACCGCTTTCTCCGGAGTTCGGCTACATTAACCACCAACAACAAACAAAAAAAAAATACACACAAATCTCGAAAATGCATTTGTCGCACCCGGTGCCGAACTGCGTCGCGTTGCATTCGTGTCCATTCAATTTACCAGCGCCAAATTGTCCCCTCGCCGATAGCCAACCATCCATCAAACGAATTGCACCTATAACTATCGACTGACCACGAAAAATAACTACCATTCCATTTAATGGCCCGAAAATGGATTATTTGTCAGTTTCGCTTCCCACAATTCTCAAGAACCGGAAGAATAAATAAACAGTTTAAAGACAAGATAAACGATGGTTCCTCCTTTATAGACATTTTGCATGCCATCGATAGCCGCTCATGTTTCTGAAACATAAAAGATTTATTTCAATGCTATTTACTGTATCCTGCAGCCATTTTTCACAGAAACTAAGAAGTTTTTCCGGAAGGTGTCGTCTTTACGTTGCACAGAACGGCAAGGGGATTATGAGGAACACATACATAAGACATATTTTTACATTTTCGGTTTATTGGTGTGGTTAAGGCGATCTTAATAGCGTCGGTCTCACATAATTTTATGAGAATCTACATCTCGCGGGACTGCCGGCGAAATTACTTTTGCGAAAAAGCATGATAAAATAAATATTAAATGAGCGTGTTTTATTTATTAAAGGCGATGTTCGTGCTCCTCTTACGATGGGATAAAGTGTGTCGTCAAGTTTTAACTTTTATTCAAAGGAACAACAAAGTATGCTGCAAGTTTTGTTCTTGTTTTGGCACAAAATGTTAGAAACGCTCACAATTTAAACGAAAATGGAACTAGCATATTAAGACTTGATTAAGAAAGAATTGAATAGCTTGAGATGGTTTTTCATTAAGTACTGGGACAGAAACAACTGGAAAAATCTTGAAAACTCGCTTACATAACCGCCAAATATTTTGGGAAAGTAACTTTATCAGAAAGCAAATGGGTTTTCACGAGTTGCCAATTGGTGTATATTTGGTTGCATATACTCGTTTGTTTGGCATGATTATGAAACATTTAAAATCATCCGATAAATCACAACCTCGCAATAAAAAATTCGTTCCTTGGATAAGCGTTATAAAAATACTGATAAAATATAAGCAAATTAATAACATCTAAGTGAAACGTAATAAAGACATGACATCTCACGCATTATAGAAATCTCCAAGTTGGCATTCTATTTTTTTTTTTCGTTCTGTTGCATTTGCTTTTGCATTTTTTCTTTCTAACGAATGCAAAAAATTCTATCCAAATATTTTTGGGTAACTTTTCGTTGTAACAAAGTTTCAAACTTGTTCCCATGATGTGTTCGTGTGAAAAGAGCAACAGTGTTTTTTTGGCGATTTTTTTTATTGTGTGGGGTCACTACCATATGACGCACGAATCGTTATGTAACACTTCCGATTCGATCTAGAGCAAGTTCGGGCAAATAGGACTGTGCGCATGCGTACTACTTCCGCCTATCCCCTCCGCCGTCCAGCAGGAAATGTTTGGTCGGGAAGTGTCAAATATGTCAAAAACAAGTCAGGTGTAATTTGTGTTTGTTTAGTGTCACATTCAAATCCTCGATATGTGAACATTCATCAATGAATTAAAGTCCGAAAAGCGTCTAAAAATTCGCAGTTCATTACGAGAAGCATTCACAGTAAGTTACGAAACAGTTAACCTCAAGCAACTTTCGACAGAGAAATTATTTCGCAACGTTTCAGTTGAAGACTATTTTAGCAAGTTTTTTGTGAAAAAGTTCACTTTCCACGAGCAGCGTGACATTAAATGGGGGTTAAGGATCTATTTACATGGTGCGTATGATAATTTTGTTTAAATACGGATCGTGACCTTGTTGTGGATGCGCTTAGGTACCAGAAGAAAATTGGCACATATGATAAACAAAAATGGGAGACTACCATAGAACAGAAGATCCTTTATGGACTGACCCACGTTCAGATGAAGAGCACCAAGCCAAATACAGACTTTATTGACCTTGATTTGGTTCGAGGTAAATGCCAATAATAATTATGTATATTTTTGTGTTTTTATTATGCAAAACTTTGTGTATGTTTGTAAATTTACAAGTTAACGAGGCTATTTTTAGATTCGTAAGGTTCCCGGATAGCGACTATTTTAATTAAGCAGTGCATGTTTAATCAACTTGATTGTGTTTGATTTACTATTTACTTATTTTAATCTGCAGATAGGCGCTATCTTATCTGATCGATATGTAGTGACTTAAACTAATACAGTTTGTTGTTATTTTGGTGTGTGGGCATCTTAAACTCCATGGATTTTTCAGGGTCCTCTTTTTCAAAAGTCAAACCTAAGCAGGGTTTCATGACAGTGGCAAAACTAGCGACTTTGCGTTGTTTATTCCTTCCAATTTACTCAAAATGGTGGATGCAACAAACCTCTGTCTCCATTTTTACCTTAATGCTACTACTTTATGTATCTCTATTAACAAATATAGCGGTATATTACAAAAACTCGTGGAAAAATCAGATGGTGGATAAATCTCGAGAGGTGAGAAACTGAACAAAGTTAATCTAATCTAGTCCGAGAATTCCAGAATGTCATGTGCATGGAATTAATAGTCCCGTTTTTGATGACGTGGGTTCTGAGTTTAGTGCATTCTCAAATCGCCGCCACTATGCCAGCACCGGACTCCCAGAAATCAAAACTAACAAAATCGAGAAATTTCCGGCGCAGACTAAGCACCGTGCGAAAAATCCCAACGGATGGATCTTCAGCGGAGTCTCTGTTGAACTTGAGATTACACAAAAAGACAAAACGAATACACTTCAATCTGAATACGAACAGCGGCTCGGACTTGAGCTCCAAAAAAGTGGAAGATTTTAAAGTTCTCAGGTAATGTTATTGTAATTTTCACTTTTCGGTAATGTTGGTTGCATAATTTACAGGAAGCGAAGGAGCAGCGACGGAGTGCCGGCGGACGACGATGGTTTTGAAAGTCTGAACGGTAACGGATCTAGAACGAGCGAAGAAGAAATAGTCCCTTCTTCCAATTGTAAGAATGCTCTTTTGACTTCGCACAAACGGTGCGACGATTGGGTGAAAAAGCAGTCATTAGCTAATAGGTCGAATAGTGAGTCCAGACACAGCACTGAGCTTGAAAGCGATGCCGAAACGGAATCGGCCGATACGAACGTGGTTTGTGTTTGCGCTATTTGAGGCGATATTTTTCTAAATGGTGCGTTGTAGACGAAACGCGCAAAGTACAGAATTCCTACTATAAATATAACTTCTATGGATAGCACGTGCGATACAGACGACGAGTATGGGTATGAAAAAGCGTCAACTATCAAGTCTACAAGCAAACTCAGTTCGTCGGCGAACGAGTGGATGAATGTTACTACCAACAGTGAGGATTGTAGTTACAGTTCTGATTTGGATGAGGTGTCTGATGGGCACATTGAAACCAACCACGACGATTATGACCATGATCTAAACTCAACCACGGTCTTTAATTCGCCTTCCATCAAAGGTATTTTTATTATAAAATTCGCAAAATCAAATCTTACAAATTGCTCGAAAACTCTAGATTTATTCATATTTTTGATTTTTAGTGAGTTGTATGATTTGGAAGAGGAATGAAATCAAAAAAGCTGATCTTTCTATGCTGGACATTAGCTCTGCTATAATAGGGAAAGTGGAGGCTACTTCTCAAAGCATGGATTATTTTTATGTTGGGATTATTATTTCCACAATACACGCTCTCATTCCCGTTTTGTTCAGACTATGTAACTTTACGCTTGAATCCAATTCCTTCGTTGATGGACAATATTCTATATTCGAATTATGTGAAACCATAATTGAAAAACTACCCAGTTCCATGACTACTTTGATGGAGGCGGCATTTGGAGCCACACTATGGTAAAATTATAAAACTTTGTCATTCCGGTTTTGAAAAAAACTAATTTTGCAGGGAGCGCTCCATCATAATAACGGCCTGTCTGCAGCGCTGGTTCTTGGCAAGTTTATTCTTCTTCCTCCTCGCCGTGGCCGAAAACACCTTCAAACAAAGATTCCTCTACGCCAAATTATTTTCGCATTTAACTTCGTTCAGACGAGCCCAACAATCCGAGTTGCCCCATTTCCGCTTAAACAAAGTCAGAAACATAAAAACTTGGCTGTCGGTGCGCTCGTATTTGAAGCAGAGGGGACCTCAGCGGTCCGTCGACGTCATTGTCTCGACGGCATTCATCATAACTTTGCTTTTGCTTTCGTTCCTGTGCGTGGAGTTGCTGAAGGTACGTCTTTCCGTTTGTTGTATGTAGTTAAGTATAAGGTAAAAGTTTCAGGAAACCGGGGCGCTTAATTCTCAGTATCACGTGGAAGCTTTGATCTGGTGTCTGGGGGTGGGGATTCTCCTGCTGCGATTTATGACGTTGGGGAATAAGATCAACAAGAAGTACAGGAACTTGTCGGTGTTGATTACGGAGCAGATTAATTTGCACCTGCAAATCGAGCAGAAACCCCAGAAGAAAGAGGAGTTAGCGCTGGCTAACAATGTTCTGAAGTTGGCGATTGATCTTATTAAGGTATTGTAGGTGGTTTTAGTGTGACGGGAATTATTACGGGTTGTTTGCAGGAGCTGCAGAGTCCGTTTAAGATTTCGGGGTTGTCGGCTAATTCCATCTTGTACAACACGACCAAACTGATAATACTGTCGGCGCTCTCGGGAATTCTGTCCGAGCTCCTAGGGTTCAAACTAAAGTTGCATAAAATCAAAATTAAGTAAGAGCTTTATCTACTCTAGTGATTGATTGTTGTGACTTCAAATGTTTATCATTTATATTTTATCCAATCTCAGTGAAATCAGAATACGTAGGTATTACCCACAATTACAGAATAATACCTGACCAAGTTTTGTTATGTCTGCGACGGTTTTCGTGTTGTAGACAATTTATTTACGTTATGTTAACGCAATATTCGAGTCTACCTGATAACTCTTCTCTGAAATTAAAATAAGTAATTTTATTTATACAATTTCCTATTACGTAGAATCTCGTACCGCTTGTGGTGTTTTTACTTTTTTTTTAGTATTTTTATTTTACGGTGTGAAGTAAGCGCTTTTACTTATTTTTGTGATTGTTCGCCAGCTAAAAGCATTTTTTAGTTGTACATACGAGAGTTATCTTCTGTGATAATCTTACATTAAGATTTTTTGTTACTGCGCAGCTATTTTCGTTTTTACTTCATGTTTTAGTTCTAAGTGGTGTAAAAAGTGTGTAGAGGTAGACAGGACAACATCAAAATAATATTTTTGAAATAGCATGATTGTCATTCTCATAGAGCTTCAAATTCTAAAATGTTTACAATGTTCTATATTTAACGATGTACGAAATTGTTTTAAATTAAAATTTTAAAGAGCGTCAAACCTTGATATAACGGCCAATGTTTACGTTTTTATTTTATACGTTAGAACAGTATAGACATGACGCACAGTACTTATGCCTTAATAAAAAAACACTTAAATTATTTACTACACCTAAAACGAAAATTATCACTAGTTTTACCTTATCTGTAAATATTTTTACATATTTTATATCAAGGTTGTAAAAGGTTTTTACTGGATGGTATAAACGAGCTCAACAAACAACAGGGTTTTGTTTTCTCTTACTGTATACAACCTAGTTGTTGTAATTAGAAAACCGTTGATTGTAAAAAACTATAAACGTTAATAAAGCTGAAGATCAAACTGACTTTTTTATTTCTTAGACGATAAGTTTATTTACGATAAGATAACATTCCACCCTCAGTCGTGCCATTTAAAGAACTCGTTTTCTTATCTGCCAAGTGATAATGGCTTAAACAATCGATATGGCGTTATCTGATATCTTAAAATCATCTGATCGCTTCAACCACGCATTATTTGCTTACTCAGCAATCACGCCAAATTACACAATTACTAAAGTTATTGCCGTTTTTTTATCCACAAAACAATAGTAACCTACCAATCAATTAAAATGTGGGTTAACTCCACTTATTAATTTTAACAACGCACTAGCAATATAGTTTACAAACTGCATCATCTATTGTTTACAGTTCAATGACTGTCAAGTTTATTTCTTGACTCCATTGTTTACAATAACAAACGTAGCCTGATCCGATCGAAGGTTAAAATAATATTTCAACCACAATTTTTTGACTGAAATTACAGCGCAGAAAGTATGTGTCATAAGAAAAATATCAAATGTTTGCTAACTTGGTTACTTACAAGTGACACTTCTTTGTATGCACACTCTTACTCACGTACGCGTCGTGTGCTACAAAATGTTTGTGTTGCGTAAACAATGTCTGCGCCGTTTTTCGTGTCACATGCGTATCACATGAACACAGCACGATGGGGTTATAGTTTTACGAAACCCTAATGTCCCATCAGTATGACACAATCGAAAAAAAAATGGGTACCGGTAAATGGCGGTCTTTTTAATATTGTGTGAGAACTTTGTGCCATAATGTCACACTTTTCAGTTGTCTAAACGCTAGTGTAAAAATTAGGGATTACAAATGTGGAACAATCCCGTCCAAGAGAATATTCCAAAATCTTCAAGAACTCTGATTGGTGTTCTCTGTTCCTTTCTGTTTAAAAAAAATCCTCCAGAACTTTTAATCCTGTAGAGTTCAAATTCGTCTGTTTCTTCTTTTTTGAAAATAAAATTTTAAAATCTTCCACTTTTGTATCAAATTCTTCTGTTTTTTCTATTCTCCAAATAAAATAGTAGATCTCAAATCTTCTAGATTCTTTTCTAAAATCTAAATTTTCAACTCGAAAACTTGTGGCCAACTCATTGAAAAGCTGTAGAGTTAGAGATGGTAAAAAAAAATTTCGAACATGGAAAGTTGACATTTGAATTTAAAAGTCCACAGGCGAGAATTATTTCCTTGCCAACAGTTTGTATTGATCACCGTAAGTTAGACTTGAACAGTGAGTTGTACGTAATATCTTTTCTTTTGGTTCTTAAAAACAGTCTTAACGACGCTAACTCAACGTGATTTGATACCTCAGAACATGGTAGAAGGAGACATGGTATAGGCATCCGATGTACCAATTTAAAAATGGTCTGCGCATCCATTTGTGACGTTAGGTGGCATCAACGACCTTGTGACTCTTATGAGCTTCGCTAGGGAAGTCTAGGGAATTTCAGCTTGAGTTGTCATTGCTCTGTCCAATACATCAGTTAGTTGTCGGATAACGAATTGTATTTTAAATTTCGCGCTAATTTCACCCCACTTGACGTCACACCTGATACGTATGCCTATACCACAGCATAGATAACAATCAGTAGGGACAGCTCGTGTCGGCGCCTTTGTTCTTTCTGACCCGAATTTTAAGCCGTCATGGATGGTCGTTGCCTAAACTATTCCTAGATGTCGCCACCCAATTTAAAAAGTATCACTTCATTTAAAATTTCAAAAATTGATTCGTGTACGCAATATTGCAAACTGTGTAGTTTGCTCAAATCGTATAATCATGAATCGCAATAAGAAAAAAAAATTGGTCTAAAGAGTTTAGACAGTACTTCCCTCGCTGTCGGAAACGTGACGACTGCATGCCTATTATGTTTTTTTTTTCGCAGTGGATTTCAAAGAATTCGGTTTTGTAGTTCCTGATTAAATCAATAAAATATATTTACGCATTCATTAATTTTTTTGAGTCACTCTGTATATGCAAATCCAAAAAATATAAATGGAGTGATAAATGACAAGTACAGACTCATCATATTTTGTACATTTTAGATATGATTTATTCGGCAAACTTTCGAGCTGACGTCATCAAGTTTTTGGAGGGGATAAGCAAATATATTTTGACTAGACATTTATTATGCTCTTTATGACCTTAAAACATCTGCAAGATTTCAGAGCATTCGGTTTTGTAGTTCCTGATTAAATCAATAAAATATATTTACGCATTCATTAATTTTTTTGAGTCACCCTGTATATGCAAATCCAAAAAATATGAATGGAGTGATAAATTACAAGTACAGACTCATCATATTTTTACAGTTTAGATAGGATTTATTCGGCAAACTTTCGAGCTGACGTCATCAATTTTTTGGAGGGGATAAGCAAATATATTTTGACTAAACATTTATTATGCTCTTTAGAACCTTAAAACATCTGCAAGATTTCAAAGCATTCGGTTTTGTAGTTTCTGAGTAAATCAGTAAAATAAATTTACGCATTCATTAATTTTTTTGAGTCACCCTGTATATGCAAATCCAAAAAATATGAATGGAGTGATAGATCACAAGTACAGACTCATCATATTTTGTACATTTTAGATATGATTTATTCCACAAACTTTTGAGCTGACGTCATCAAGTTTTTGGAGGGGATAAGCAAATATTTTTTGACTAAAGATTTATGATGCTCTTTATAGCCTTAAAACATCTGCAACATTTCAAAGCATTCTGGTTAGCAGATTAAAAATTAAATTTCAAAATGTTGTTTTATAATTTTGATTTTTTTTCCAAAAATCTGGACGTTTCGGGTGAAAAGTCGATTCGGAGTTGTAAACTACATGTGTAGGACTATGTTATTTTATACAATTGAAAACCCATTTACTATGTACAATTTTGAAGTGACGTCATCGCATTAGTGGTGGGGATGATTAGACAAATTTTGGTTAGCGTTTTACCATCTACATGATATTCTTAATATAAGTACAAAATTTCACAACAATCGGTCGAGTACTTTCGGAGATTATCTGTCTAATAAAAATCCGGGACAACAGACGGACAGACGGACGGACAGACGGACAGACGGACGGACAGACGGACAGACGGACGGACAGACGGACAGACGGACAGACAGACGGAAATGGGAGACCTATTTCTTCGTCTTCTAGGGGTCATGAAAGATCGAGAAAACGTAAAAGTAGAGAGTCGGCCGACGGACTCGATTACAATACTTCCTTTGCTTACGCTCGGGAAGTAAAAAGTCGATATTTAAATTATAAACACCATGATTTGTTAGTTTTTATTTTATTACTTATACAGTCATAAATGTTAATCCGGAAATGGTACACTTTGTAATGGACCGTAGGTAAAGGAGTATTTTATGAGGACTAAATATTTTTCGAGAATAGACTCTTTTAGTTATTAAAGAAAGTATCCATATTATTTATATATGTAGAAAGCTAAAAAAAAGTAGAGAAATAAACAGACAGGCATGATAATGTAATTATGGTAATTACTTTATACAAGAATAAATATAAAAATAAGAACAGCACCTGTTAAATTGTTTAATAATTTCAAAAATTTTACGAAAAAAACGCATTTTACCTAACAACTTAACCCGTAAGCGTAATATCATATAAAGTAAAATTTTTATTTAAAAAAAAATATTACAAAAAAAAATACATATTTGTCGACTCGCATAAAGTGCAGGTAATTGGTATGGGTCGACGCAGGTAAGAATAATTAAGGAATTCATGAAACCGGAAGTCCATAGGGATTAAGCGAAAAAAGATATTTGACAAAATGTACGGCTTGGGTCATTTTTACCCACGCGCGACTGCTTATGGGTTAAGCAACGTCTCAAAATAAAACTCAAGATTGTGTAGGTCAAAAATATATATATATATACATGATGAATAAAAAAATTGTTTATTGAGTGAAGGTCTGCTTATATAATTTTTTGTTACGTGTAGTTTGTTTCTTATTACTTTTATATTTAATTTTACCACAACAACGGAATCATATATAATAAATTTTTTATATTTATTTCATAACCACCGTTGTTGTTCGTTTGCGACGACTTTTTAAACAAAAAGTGTGTTATGTTTACTATCTTTTCCAAGAATTCCAAACACGAGGGAGAGAATAAGGCAGGCGCACAACAGGGATCCTGTATGAAAATTCATCGGACGAAGATTTTACCTTTTATTGTGAAAATTACATTTTTATACTATTTGTACAATTCTACTGGAAAAGCAGTCTTAAACAAGCAAAACCGGCAAAAATATTGTAACAAAACTGCCAAATTTCAAATATTTTAGACGTCAGTTGGGCGCCCTCATTCGGTCATAAAGCGAACGACCATCCACGAAAACGGGTCACGAAAAACGGCGAGCCGTCCCTACTGATTGTTATCTCTACTGTGCCTATACCATGTCTCCTTCTACCATGCCTCAGAATATCAAATAACAGAATACTTACTAAAATAAATTACTAAATCCATAGTTACTTTATGGACAATTACGACGGTAAACTGTCAAGTGTTTTTTTTTCATTGTGCGTGGACATTACTTTTTTTCCGTTAACTAGCAACTACAGTAGCGGTCATTTCTACGGAACCACTCGATAAAAAGTCAAGTTGGTAGCCCTGTCACCTAGTACTTTACGCCGAACGCGGTTGGTAGCGGTAGTTGACATGGCAATCGAAACTAGCACAACACGAATGTTTCGGTTGCCCTCAGCTATGCCGCACTGTATCCCGTGCAGACTGTATGTTCTGTTCATCTATTTATTAAAATAAAATATCTACATTGACAATGGGGCCATCTAACCTGTCAAATTTTTGACACATATGTTTTCCCCCAGAAACCCGTCAAGGTCACTTACACCAAACAAATTTTGAAAATTTACACTAGGGAGTGGTTCTATAGAAAAGATCGCGACTTTATGTGGGTGACTATTAATGATTTTAGCAAAATTTGCTGTTGGCAATTCGAAATTATTGGCATCCATGCTAGTACGTCAGTTCATAGTTGTCAATTTTGACTAGACCCGCCTCACAATAACAAACGTTTTGATTGGTTGAGACAATGGCAGCTGTCATAAATATCACTTTGACAATCAAAGACAAACATTAACAGTCATTCGGAATTTGTTACTTAATAGAGTCAAAGTTGTTTTAAAAATCTCAAAAAGTTTTAAATTTGCAGTAGTGTCATTTTTACATAAGTGTTTTATGCTGCAGTTATCAGCATGTAGTTGGTAATAACCATGGAATTGATACATTAAAGCAATTTGTAAAAAATAAATTATTTAATTATTTATATACTATTCCAAAATTTCAAAATTTCTGCTCTTTCTGAAAACATCAGTCACATCAAACATCTGAAAAAGGTAATTAAAAAAATTACCTGACTCCATAGCCTCAAGTACGCCACTGTGAGTTAATCATTTTGAAACTGTGGGTGGAGCCAAGCAATTACTTAATTCCGTCACGCGCTAATCTACTCATTCGCTAAGCCCGCTTATCGCACACGTGCGTTTTGCGACTCACAACCCGCTGGCGCCTTAATTACCACACCACCACGCCGCCCATACCTCCTAGGGTTGTAAGTTGCGTCAGCGCGCCCCATAACTACCAAAACCGCCTCGCGCCAAGGTCGACATCTTCAGCCGGACCTTCGCGCTCCGGTCGCAGAAGGCCCTGCACGGAAGAAGGGTGGGGATCGGACGTAGCATGGCGTGACAAACATTCGCACGATTGTCGACCGTAGCGCATTGGTTTGCGAGCCGCGGCCTACTCGCACATGCTCTTGTACAGATTACGCTCTCGCAATAGTAAACAAAGCCGTCATTAAATTTTCTTAGCGAATGACCGCCCTGTGAAATTGTTTGATTGTGAGAACAGACAAGAAATGGCCCAGATCGTCAGCGATTACTACGATGGGTGCCGGCTATTCTCGGGCCTTTCGGACTACCTTGGAATTTCGGTCGATAAGGTTAGTGTAGTTTTACGCGAATTTGTTGATATTTATTGCACTCTTATCTGTCATCGGGAGTGTGACAGGTGAAGTTTCGGATGGTCCGAGTTGGATCAGCAAATGCCGGCGCGGGTTATTTTTAGAGGTGTTGTTAGTGCACGCTGTTATTGGCCTGGCACGGGTTACGCCCCATGGGCCAGCGGACGTGATTTCGATGGGTGCTGGCGAGGGCCAGCTGATCCGATGGGCACCGGCACATTCATAGCCGCCTCGCAGGAATTCAACAAGTGGGACGGGCCAAGAATAGGGATTATTTAATTCGATTACTCAACCGATACCTGTTATTGCGGTTGTAACCTTGCATCCTTTTCCGCTTTTTTGCGAATCTGGATATCTGCAATCAGAACTCCAAGGTGATTGTAAAAGGGCAAACTGAAAAAATATGTCGAAGCGAGGCGGTCGAGGCATTTAACGCGATTGGAGCCCTAAAATAGCCCTTTATATGTATATAATTGCCCCCTCCCTCTTGTAACATTTATTTATAAATGTAAACATCTGAACATGCCGTTACACTATCGCTATATATACAGGATGATTCGGCTAAAAGGGGATACCTCAAATATTTTTTTATTTATTAGTCATGACAGAAATTTGAAAACTTTAATGTTTTCTCGACGTTTCATGACCCCTAGAATACGAAAAATTTGGTCCCCGTTTCCGTCTGTCTGTCTGTTAAATAGATACCTAATCTCTGAAAGCACTGGATTGTTGCCAAATTTTATGTGTATTAGGAATATCATGTAGAAACGTTAAATAAAATTTAGCGAATCATCCTCACCAATAATAGGATGACGATATTCCCAAAATTTACATAAATGTAACTATTATATTATTTAAATTTTATAAAAGTAAAATGCTGCTCCACTTGTGGTTTATGAATACATTTTGAGTTTTTACTCTAGACATACAGATTTTTGCAGTTTAAGGTTATTGGGACATCGTTAATTTGCCCGTTTATGGGGTTTTTCATATTTCAGTTTTGGGTTTTTCAATTTTTCGTTTCATCAGTTTTTCGATTTTTCAAATTTTCAGTTTGCCGATTTCTTTATTTTTGATTTTTCAATCTTCCCATATTTCGGTTCCACGATTTTTTAATTTTTGACGTTTTTAGATTTTAGATTTTTTTGATTTCTCCATTAATAAATTTTTCGGTTTTATGATTTTTCAATTTTTAGATTTTTTGATTTTTCGATTTTTCAGGCTTTTGATTTTTCAGTTTTTTAAATTTTCGTTTTTTCGATTCTTCGACTTGACCATTTTTGGACTTTTCGATTTCTTGATTTTTCAATTTTTCCATGTTTCAGTTCTCGGATTTTTCATTATTTCGATTCTTCTATTTTTCGGTAGATTATTCGTTTCGATTTTTTAGTTCTTCAGTTTTTATGATTTTTGAGGTTCGGATTTCTTGATTTGTCAATTTTTCGACGTTTGCCATGGTACATTATTATTTTTTTTTTCAATTTTTGGGCGTTTTTAAATTTTCAATTTTTCCATTTTTGATTTTTCAACTTTTAGTTTTTTTTCCATTTCTCGATTTTGCAGTTTTTCATTTCTCCAATTTTTCAAGTTTTCAGTTTTTCAAACTTTTTATGTTTCAATTTTTTAAACTTTCGCTTTCTAGATTTTTATGGTTTTCGATATTTCAGTATTGGAATTTTTCTTTTCAATATTTCGATTCTTCAATTTTTTGATTTTTCGACTTTTTTCTAATTTGTCAAATTTTTAACTTTTAGATTTTTCAATGCTTTGATGCTTGATTTCTCGATCTTCAGTTTTTAGATTTCTCTGTTTTTAAAATTTTTTATTTTTCGATTTTTTATTTTTATTCAAAGATGTACAAGAAGTTTCTGATTTTATTAAACCTAATAACAAATTTTAGTATTGGGCTATCTACAGAATTAAATTTTCAAATTTATCATAATCCATAGATAAATTTGTGTTTGAAGAATACAATTTTCAAAAATATGTTTTGTCAAAAAATGTTTATGGTACATGAGCCACATTTTGGAAACTTTTTTTTCTTCCCAAAAAATAATCTTCCTTGAATTGAATCTTTATGACATTCTGTACAACATACTAGTGAAATTTGCAAAATCAGTTTTATAATTTATTTAAGAAACTTATTTAATAGCCTGTAGTTAAAGGGGAGAAGGGAATTCTGTCTAAACAACTTGAGTCCATTTTTTTACAGAATTTGTTCAAAATGTTCATGTTTTCTCGAGTAGCGTAATAAAAATATAAAATTATGAAGGTTAAATTAAAATTAATAAACCCATCAGCATTAATTAAACTGATTTAAATGTATGCAATACCTACTTACAATAAATGAATGTTTAAAGCGTTAAGCATCGTTTTGAAATTTTGAATACTTAATCATAATCACACATTATTTTTGCTTGTAAATTAAGTGGAAACGTATGTTGGTGTGAATGAAGTGCCCGCTAGCTATCAGTCTTGCTTGAAATTCGCTTTTATCTTTACTGAATTATAAACAAGAGTTTATCGAAATAATTTTAATCAAGTATATATAACTAAAAAGAAGCAAAGTTTAGACTCCTTTTTTACTTTTTTTTTTGTGTCTAAAGTTGTATTTTTACAAATATTCACACTACAGCCATGCAACAATAATCTAAACTTCAACGTGAAAACCTCCGTTTACCATTTTGAGTATACATATTGCGGTGTTAATAGGTCGTTAGAATGTAAATATTTTTTTTGCGTGGTAGAATCCGAGTTTAAAACTGTGACATTTTTTTCAACGGCTTTTTATGTCTGCGATGAATTCACAAAAAACTTTGGGCCACGTGTTTACGATTATTGGAGAGAACCTACATTTTCAAAAACGCAGAACATGATTTTTTTTGTGAACGGTTTTGTGGCGAATATTTGGAAGGTCGTATATATGTTAATTTTCTCCAAACGAACTTGAAACTGGTGTTGAATCGGACGAAGAGAAACACGAATAGAGTTAATTATGCGTCGCACTTTTTGAAATATTGAATAAAGTGAGGCAGTATTGAATTTGTTCTAACGCAATTTTGCCTAGATTAGCCGGACATAAAACAATCAGCGGTTATTTCAAAGAGGGTCGGAATTGTGTGTTAGTGATGATGAAATTGTGTCAAGTTGATTTGAATTTGAGCATGACGAAAGTGGTAAATTTGATAAAGGGAAGGTGCAGCTGACGTATTAATAGATACTAGAATTATTAGACGAAGATAACTGGATGCAGTGAAACATCTGACTTAAAAACAAATTTGTGTAAATGTTTGATAATAATTTGCTGAGTTGTTTTAAACACGATAAGAACTTCGAAAATGTAAAACTACTTTGCATATGTATAAAAAATGTAGTGAACTCATTAAAGGTACCTGAATGGAAGTGATTGTGTTTTAATTTATTTTTTTGCTTTAACAGTAGTTATTTGTTTTGTATGAATTGCTTTACTTACATACTTATCAGTAAATAAGGTGAAAATTGTAATTATCGATAACGGGTTTTTAAAATAAATAAATAAAAAATTGTCATGAGTGATTAATAATTATTAATTATCGATGTTTTTTACCGACTCATTGTAAGCTCACAAATTCGCTCAGCGTGAATCTTGTAAATCAAAAACAGCACATCCGGATGTGGTTAAATTAGAAGTCGAAAACATAAGTTATTATTTTTAGCAGTACTTCGATCCACACTAGTTTTGTTCGCCACAACGAAGGTTGAAATCACCATCAGAATAAAAAATTTAAACAGTGACACAGAGGATTCGTTGTGGTCGTGCTTAATGAGGCTTTAGCGAGTCGGAATATCATGACGAACCTACTTTTTCGAGTTAGACGGTTTCTTTTCGAAAAAGTAAGTCGAAAGCCGAGCATTCTGTCAATCAAGGTGTCCATTTTTTGCAGCAGCGCAAACTTTCACTTCGACAATACCGTTTTATGAGTGCTTAAAAGTAACGATGCTTTAAACATTCACTATTATTTGTTTACATTATTATTTCTGTCCACAACGGGAAATTTCCCACGTCACGTTTTCGCTTTTCATTTGGAGGTAATAAATCAGGCGCTAATCAGTTTCTTTTTTAGTACGTTGGAATTTTAATTCGTTGCATTACTCATCGAACGGAATTGATTAGATTCGTCACAAAGTCCTAAATCGAAATTAAACGACCAGTGGCCATACACCGTTTCGTTCTAATAGATAGTTAATCTTCAAGGTTTTGGTTTCTGCTAAGTGGGCGAACAATTTTTTACAATCAACCTTTGTTGGGTTTAATAATAATGAATTGCAATCACAAACAAGTGGTAAAAAAGGCGTCACACGATTTTAGCACGGTTCGGTTAAGGCGGTAATTAATTTATCCCGTTTTGGTTTTAGGTAAATTTCGTCATCAGCCAGATCGTCGCTCTTCTCCTAGCCTCGTTCTTCCGCACCGTCCTCCATCCATCGAAGACAAGTGCAGCTACAAGACACGTCTTCGGCTTAGCTTTCGCCCTCCTGATCGGTTACTTTTGTTTCGGGACGTAAGTAGACCCAGTGTAGAGTCTGATTGTTTTGATTTTGACGTTACTCTGTACGAGAAGACAGGCCGTACATTTGGCAGCCCTTCCGGCAGCATGCTACGTAGTAATCCGAACCCAGAACCCAGAAATCATGCAAAGGTACGTCCCGAGTTCGTTTCTGTTAATGTAGAAGTTACTTTTATTTCTACCATTACGTTTTACCATGTTTTCAGAATGGTTCTAGCAGTTGCATTATTTTATTTATCGCTAATACACATACATCGCCAGATTTACGATTATGGGTCGTACAACCTCGACATAACGGGTGAGTAATTGAGGTTTTCTTATCGCTCGAAAGGAAATTGTTACTCGTAGTAAGTACTTTTCCGGTATCTGAATCGAGACGCGCCAGCGTTCCTGAATCCTGCGATCAATTGGCTCGTTTATTACTTTAATCTCGAACGACATAATAAGCGACGCATTAATGAATAAATAAAAGTTTATTATGTGCGATGAAACCGTACTCGCGATTTTATACTCTGTGTATTTTTTATCACGTGCTCGGGTAATCATTCTAAAAATAAAAACACTATGCAACGAACCCAATTTTTCCGTCGTCTACATGCCACTAATTTGCAGGACCATTAATGGTAATAACCCAAAAAGTGACCAGTTTAGCGTTCCACCTCCACGATGGCTTGACTAAAAATCAGGAAGACTTGTCCAAGAGCCAGAAAGTGTACGCCATCACGAAACTCCCCACGGCTCTGGAATACTTCAGCTTCTCGCTACATTTCCCGTCGCTGATGGCGGGTCCCGTCATGTTCTACAAGGACTACATGGACTTCATCGACGGCAGCAACTTGAAGTCGCCCGTAATCCGCCCTTCGTTCTCTCGTACTTTCCCGAATAAATTCGCCCTTTACAGGTGCTGCAGCACTCCACCGACGGCCAAACCATCGTGATCGAACCGTCGCCGCTAAGGGCTGTGTGTAAAAAAGTCTTTGCGGGGGTGGTATGTGCCGCCATTTTTGTAAAATTTTTGCCCATGTTTCCTATAAGCAGAGTTAAAGAAGATGACTTTGTGGAGAACACCAGCGTCACGCAAAAACTCGTGTACCTGTATGTATGTACAGCTTTAGTTAGGTTTAAGTATTACTTCGCCTGGACTCTGGCGGATGCCGTGTGCAATAACGCAGGGATAGGTTTCAACGGGGTGGACGAGAACGGGGCCACCAAGTGGGACAAATTCTCGAACGTCGACATATTAGGGTTCGAGGTAAGGGTGTACAATATAAAGTGTGATTATGCTGTTCTTGCCAGACATGTGACGGTGTCGAATTTAATACAAATTAATTGTTTCGGTATTTTCGCTGTATAACTACGTGCGCACGTACAAAATTAACGATGCTTGACGGAAGAGAATTTACAATTAAAATTTCCTATGATTGAATTGACAAAATTATTTTTTTCAATGTGCAACCTTTAACGTCTGATGACGTAACGCAATTATATACAAATTGTAACACTAGCGAAAGAACTTTGGACAAAGCATGCGATTGCCTTTTACTGAGATATGTACGACAATTGCGAATTAATGTGTTTATGTTTGTTATCGTTTCAGTAAAAGACCCCCCTAAATAAAAATATTGCATAATCCTGCCATTTTGCAATGTTCGATATATCGGCCACGTCGTTCTTATCATTAAAACAACTTGTAAAAACCGGAAAAAATAATCAATGATTGTGTGTTATTAACGAGCTCGTTAAGGAATAAACCCGGATTCTTAGTTTCCAATAACGCAAATTCCACCAGGCACGCACTCCTCGCCCGATTTCTCGTCTTCGATCCATTGTCGGTACCAACCTGTGCACTGATTTATGCCTCGATCAATAATTTCATTGCTGGGCTACAAAACGTCAGAGCCGTCAGTCGGACAAGGGACATGGAGCCAGCAGAATCTCCCGGTTCCGGGGACTGGAAGCACCCGAAATGGGCCGCCTCGAAACCCGACGAAGAGTCATCTTCGAGCGGCTACACGTACCAATCGCTAGAACTGGACGACACCATCTCCGAAGAAAAGGAGCAGTTCATGACCGTGAAGATCACCATCAGCGAAGACAAAGTCTTTACGCATTCGTACAACGAAAACATCGAAGTGAGCGATTTGAAACACTCTTTGGTCGAAGTTTTCAACATACCTTCCGACCACATGATCCTCCGCATGGAGAAAGACGTGTTGACTGACGACATGGTTTTGAAAGATCTCGGAGCGGAGAAGTGCGGGGTGCTGGAGTTCGTGTTGACTTCTACGAATCCGGACGACGTCCTTTCCGTGGACCAAGCGTACAGGAGTTTTTATGTAGTACCGGACATTTTGACTGTTCGAGTGCAGACGTCGGACGAAGGAATTAAAGACGTGGTGGTCGAAGTGGTGAACAAAGCTATAACTAAGCCTTTTTTGGGCGGCTACTTCGACAAGTGCTCGGGGTTGGAGTACCATCACGGGTACACGCAGACGCCGCCTCCGAAACCCAAAGTCCCTCCGGAAATGAAAAGTCATAGAGATACGCAGACTTACGACATGAGAAACCGGAAGATAGATTTGCCGTATGCTCAGGCGACGCAGATGGCCAGGCAAGATTTGTATATACCGAGCGTTGGGGATAAGATATTGACAGCTGGACCGTACGAAACGGCCGAAGAAAGGGAAAAGAGGCTGGATATAGAGGGGAAAGTGCGGACCATTCAGCGCTACTTCAGGGCTTGGCTGACTAAAAAAAGGTTGAAGATGTATCACGAAGAGTATCAGAAGAGGTTGCGCTTGATGCTCGAAAGAGAAGCTGAAGAGAAGAGAGAAGACATGGAGCGAAAGAAGAAGGATTTGATCAGTCGCGTTTTCCCCAGGACGGCGGCCGACTTCTCCATGTTGTACGCCATGACAGAACGTTGGAAGAAAGCGGAAATTAAAAGAATCATAGAGATGCACTGCGGTCCTGCTCGAATCGCCGAATTCTACCTTCTCTTAGAGAAAGAAATCGAGATCTTGCGGTCAATCGAAGCCTTGAGAATCAAGCTGAAGAACGACAGGAAGATACAGCGCGAAATCGACTTCTTCAAAACAATCGGAGACCCCTGGACTTTCAAGTCCAGCTACAAAAACATCCCGGTGGAAGTGGACACTCTCGAAACGCAGAAAGGACGAACGTTCCGTGACTTGTACCAAGCGGTCTGCGACATGTCTCTGGACCCTTCGAACAGGATGTTGGTTCTTCTGGAGCTACGACGCGGGTTCGAAACGCACACCTGCGCGGTGTCGAACGAAGTCATAGAGCTCATAGACCGAGCTTGCGAACTCCTGGCCAGGGGGTTTACGGCGGGACAGTTCGAGTCGTTGCAGAAGAGGATCGAAGCGTTGCTGCTGCACCACTTCGAACTACCCGAGTGTAACGAGGGAGTGACGAACCGCTATAACCGACTTTCTGAAAAGTCGATGACACAGAATCTCTTCTATTGCGAAGGTTGCCACAAACTCAAACCGATCGAATCGTACAACGTCGGTATTAAGACCAGGGCTCCTAAAATTTGCGCCACTTGTAAATTCATCGACCGCTCGAAGGAGCCCTGGATCGATATTTCTCCGTATCGGTTCATTCTTCGGCAGATTAGAAAAACCGAGCGGCTGCTGCATGCTCCTTCGTCCATCGCGTTTATTATCCAAGACAAAGATATTTATCATATAGTCACGCACATCTGGCACGGTCACTCTGCTTTATCTGAGTGCGATAATGTGTATCAGCTGCGTCTGCCTAGGTGGGATAAAACGAAGGATTGGGCTCCGTGGAACTGCATCCTTCTTACTCTAGAGGAAGCTAAATCTCATCTGAGAATAGAACGGCTGGAGGACGTTTACGACGAGAACCTCCTCAGCCAGGTGTTTAACAAACACGCACTGGCGAAGAAATATTTCGCCCAGAGTTTCGACATAGAGAAGTGCGTCAAGGAAACGTACGTCGACGACGAGTATGTCAATTTGTACGAAGAACAAAAGAAACTGTGTCCTTAGTCCAAGTAGCAATAAAGCAATCGATCAAACTGTGTTTTTTTCGCGCAAAAATAGACTCCTTAGAAATCGATAATATAATGTATACAAAGTTTAAACAGAAATGGCTCGTCTTTGTCTGCACTTTCTCCCTAGTGCCCTTGATTCAAGTTTTGGTATTTTTTAGTGTGCCTTAAATCTCCGTGACGCGATCGCCTCTTGGAACCTCGGTACGAATAAATGGTTGCGAATGGTTGTGTATGAACGCGTGGACAAATACTCGATGATTTTAACTTATTCTCTGTCTGCCATCTGGCACGGTTTCTACCCCGGCTACTACATCACGTTTACGAACGGGGCCTTCTTCACCCTGGCATCCAGAGTGGTAAGTCATTGTCGCCCGATCGATTAGCAAATCTCTTAAACTTGTGTCCCCAGATGCGCAAAAGAGTGAGAAACTACTTCCAAGGAAATGCCGAAACGAAATTCTTCTACGACGCTGCCACCTTTGTGACGACACGAATTTTGATGGCGTACATGGTGTACACATTTGTCCTGTTGGAATTTTGGCCTTGCATACGTCTGTATATGTGAGTTCTTTCGTAAAAGTTTGATTATTGTGGTTATTGGTGATTCGTTTCAGGTACATGTATTGGTGCCTTCATTTGGCCGGACTGGCGACGATTTTCATTGTGCCTATTGCGATTCCAAAGACTGAAGCGGGACAAGTTGCAAAAAGTTCTATCGCACAAGCTTTTGTCCAAGCGAGACCTATAACCAACGGTCTGTCACGTCACCATGACTGATCACATTCGATTTTGTAAAGCTTTAATTGTCATGTAGTGTGTTATCGATGGTGTAGTTTTTATTTGTCACTAATAAATTTGTTATTTATTGGTTCTTATTTCACTCTTTTCGCCACTTTTGTTCCCTTTTCTGAAAAATTATTAATATCGTGTACAACAAACGCAAATTAATTTGAACGTCCAAAAAGTGCCGTGTAAAGTGGGTTGTCTGCCAACCAGGCGCCGACTGTCTATCTAGTAATTTAATTTTACGAGGTTGGTGCGGCACTTTTGGTTTTCCCATTTGGCAGTCACGTCATAAATCAAATATTACAATCTACAATAGTCAAACACTACGAAAAAATGAAAATAAGACACGTTTTTGCAGTGAATGAATTATAACTACCCAACAAATGCGTTAATTCAATTAACCAAACAAATTCCGCAATTAGTGTTTGTAATGACCTCAGATGTGACAAGGTAAATCCATTAACAAAAGTATTCATTTTTAGAGAAAAACAAGTACAGCTCATCAAGTTCAGCCGTTTTCAAGACAATACATAATCATGAATTGTTTGACGATATTGTGTCTAATAAGCGTAGGTTCCTACGTCGGGTGTGCTCCCACGAAGCCTGACAACCCAAAGACTTTTTACGATGCAGTTATAGAAAAATGTCCTTTACTTCAAGCTCGTATGTCCTTAAAAAACCACCCGATTTTCACAGCTTGTACAAACTGGACGGCTATTAGCGAAGTAAACAAATTAAGTGGTGAAAATGTTAAAGACGTTCGATGTTTGCTTTACTTTGAATCTTTCACGGAACTGTGCACCAAGACGCCGAACGTAAACATAAGTTTGCTGAACTCTGTACTGATCGAATACCCACTGGAAGCGGTGTGCGAGTATGCGAAAAATACTTCTAATAAAAATTTGAACGCAATATTTTCGAGTGCACACAGCTGCAAAAAAATCTGTCTCGATGATTTTGGAATGGTGTATTCAATTTGCAGGATTTCTTACAACTTTGCCCACTATCAACCAGTGCAAGATCAAGAGCCACCAAAAGTCGTCGAGAGCCAAGACGCTAAAAATGAACATCCTTCAGAACAGAACACTGAAACTAATACTGGCGAAGTTCTGAACAACAAGAATTCTAAGGTTGACAAAGTTGCTGCAAATGCAGCAAAAAATCATGGACCAGTATCAGCTGAGGGCGCAGTTCATCCTGTGATAAAACCTAATTCTAATGGAGTTCCTGCACTTCCTGGTACAGATAATGAAGGGGATACTGGGAATCAGGAGGTTGCACCAGAGGTGGGTGCACCTGCACAGCAACCGGTTGTGGATCATGAGGAGCAAAATAGAGATGCTAAAGATAAAGCAAAGGATGGGGTGGAGCCCGCGCAACAGGACATTGCTGCTTCTGCTACGCTCGACGTACCCACACAAGTGCAGTCAGCAGAGGTACATGAGGTTAACGAGGACGCTAATCAAAAACCTGAAACTGTAAATCAGAAACCAGACAATACGAAAACGGTTCAGAGTAGTCCTAAAGAGGTTGAAAGTACTAATGAAGACACAGCCATGGATATCTTGGAAGATAAGGGGAGTCAAAATCTACCGGTGAACGGAGATCCTGACGTCGGCGATGATGATGTCGATTTAACAGATGGGGGTAAGTGGGTTTTGGAATGTTTACAGTGGACACGTTTTGATTGCTTGTATTTTTGGTTGCATAACTCTCAAAATGCATTTAATGAGATAGGGCGTTTAGAAAATACCCTCTACGTACGTTTTAGATACATAGAAAAATTACTAGTCTTACTGCACTGTATAAAAATCGATTTTTAAATTCCAGGCGCCGGTTTACGAAAGCTCAGTTAAATATCGTATAAAAATTTTTAATGCGGCATTAACTACCACGTGACCGACTCTACGCCAATCAGATGTCGCTAAACGCCTCATTAAATGCAGCATTAACTTAATCTCAATTACAATATTCCATAAAGTGGCCCTAAATCCCCATTTGGCGTTTGAAAACTGTAACAAATGAAAAAACTATAAATCTTGCAAAATTAATTATTCACTGTTGTGGATTCAGAAAATAAAAAACTGTTAAAGTTGCATTGTTAACATTAAATTTAGTAGAAATGATTAACAGTTCCTAATAAATTGAATGCCAACATATAGAGTTTTAGCAAGACATGCAAATGGAATTAATGCACTTGCTTTAATTATCGTTGCATTTTGTTGTGTTTGTTGAATTTTATTTGTTGCTAACGTTGAAACTTTTCTCATAGGAAAACGTTTCTTGCTTTTGTGTTGTGTGTTGTGTCGTGTGGCAAAATTAACTTTGAGAATGTTTGAGTGAAGTAAAAGAAATGTTGAATTTGTAGCAGCAGAGGAAGAAAACTTGGCAGCCAATTCTGTCCACGCTGAAAAAGATTCAAAGCCCATGAAAACGGACGAATCCGAACCAGCGAACTACAACACAGAAATGGACGGCGATTCCAATTTCTTCACCTATTTTATGCTTTTATGTATTATTTTCATTGTTGCTTACGTGTGCTACCACAACAAGCAGAAGGTAACGAAACTCGGAAGTCGAAATGGGTGGTTTAAGTTGGCTTTGTAGATTCTTGCACTGATCTTGGAAGGGAGAAGAGGTAAAAGACAATACCGAGGGCGCCGACCGAATTCCGCCAATTATCACAAATTGGACAGCAATTTGGAGGAAGCGATAACTTCGTCGTGTAAGAAGAACACAAACAATGTGATTTATTAGGTAAGAGTTTCCGAATTCTCAAGCGAGTCCAGATTTTCCTAAGTTAAATTTGAATGTAAAATATGTAAATAAAAAATATACACGCATCAATTTTTGTAACTTTATACAATGTGGATTATACATATTGGATAGCCGATAGGTTGTGCGGTTCTCACCGATAAGTTAACGTTCAGGTACTTTCGTTTCACTTTAAGGTTGAATAATGGTCTAGTTTTCTTAGAATTGTCTTAATTTATTTAAATAATGTTTAATAAAAATTTTCGTATCTACTTGTTGCTTTATTTTATCGAATCAGTATTTACAATATAAGCCGTCTTTGGTGTTTTCTTTAATCCATAAAAGCTTCTTGTCGATGCGAACGTAAACTCGAGGCTCTGTACTTTGGCATGTGTTTGTTGTGGTTGAAGGTTCCCAAGCTGTAATTCCTTTATTTTGTGTTAGACGCCGTAAGAGCACAAAGTTGTAGCTTACCAACTAATTCGGTGACGTTGTACATGCGCCTGATCTTAGATAAGGTAAGTAATCCACCGTGTTCCTCCTAAAATCTTACATCACGTTTCGCAACTACTCGTAAATAATTTCTTACCCCACACGGTCTAACGCCATCACCAGAATCCACACTGCAAATAACTTCAGGCGTCACAATTTGACTGTAACGACCGTCGACAGTGCTACACTGTGTCGAACTTAAAAGCGTCACAACGTTTTCTTTCAGCTTTTTGTCCCCCGATCCAAAATTTGAAAAGTAAGACCATTCGACATTGTCCGCTTGTGTCTCGGTGTGGTCCTGAACTAAAACCACCAGTGTATTTTTGCAAGTTTTACTCGCGACTTACATTGTTCAGCGATGGTCGGTAATTGTATAGGATATATCGTTTTACTGTATGAGACTGGCTCGTCCAGTTTGATTAATGCCAAATTATTAGCAACCGTTTGGAGGTTTCCAGGGTCGAAATTCGGATGAAGAATAAAGTGCGCCGCTTTTCGTTGTAAAGTCCTCGCCTGGAATATCTCCGACACATCCTTGCCGTACCCGTTGAAAAAGCCGACATGTACAGTTACTTGGTCGGGCTGGATATATCTAAAAATTTAATTAAGGAGTTCCACATAGACATCGCCGCGGACCTGTTTCTTTCTCTCTTTACGTTAACGACATCAAATTTTTCGTAAAATCACGCATTTTATTCGAAAAGAAAACTTACGGAAAAATGCAATCCTGTGCCACCAACACGTATCTGTCATTAATTAAGGCCCCTGTGCAGGATTTTGTTTGGTCCGGCAGCGTTACCTTGAGTTCCGTGAGCCAAGGATAAAGGTAAGGTTGTGCAATGTAGTTATTGTCAGAAACGGAACTCAATTTTGCGAAAAATGTTCTTCCGGCCTCTGAAATTTAATGTTAGTGTGAGTGTTGTGGGGTTGTGGAAATGTGTTGTACAAACCACACTTTGTAGGATCCCAAAGTTCAATCTAGAAGAAATACGTTTGTTTTAATTGTAATGGAAATGAACGCACCCTGTATACCCTATTTTTGACACATGCGTTATGTGCCTGTTGGATTAGCACAACTAAAATAAACCACTGCACAATCATGTTATCGCACCAAGACTATATCGGTATTTTGGGAATTATCCAATTTCTTTGTAGTAATTAATTTGTCCCCACTTTTCGTATTACAGTGGCAAATAGTAAATCTAAATCATTTTGAAGTTAATGGTAATTTAAATTGTGTGCAATTTCGCATGGTGTTAAATTTAGCGTCAGAGCAGTGTATTTCGTCGTTGTAGCTGACATTCATGATGATGTATCAAAGTATTTTTTTGTCAAAATATTGTGCACTTTCGATTTGGACGTGCATACAATCACTCGTTCGATTTGAGCAGGAAAATTAAAATCAAATATTTAATTAACATTCCAAGGTAATTTCACGCCAGGTTTCAAGACCATTTTTCTACTAGTCACACGTTAACACAACTAAAAGTTAAAATCGGAATAATATCGGCACCAACTTCGTGAAAAAAGGATGTAGTGCAAACATAATAAAATAAAACGAAGGACGTGGAAGCCACAAGAAGTGTAAAAATTGGAAAAAAGCGAAGAACACGAAATTAGTTCAGGATGCGGCGGAGTAATCACTCGAAGCATCTGAGGGAATCGCGTCACTTGAAGGTCAAATTTATTTCACTGTAAAACTAAATTTAAATCAGCTTTTTACAATTCAGAATCGAAAGTCAAAAGAAATGTACTATTTTTATTTATAACCATTTGAAACAATTCAATTCATTACACTAGTCCTAATTCACGATGGCCGCTTGGTTCTGTCTCGTTTCCTATTTTTCCTTTTTCGTTGCGACTTATTCTGGTTCTGGTGTTTATTTTTCCGGACGGTAGTTTGTGCCGGAAACTTCCTGTCACTTCGATCATTAATGATAATTATATTGATAGGTCGTCCACCAGTTGGGTGAATAACGTGTACCGGATTTGGTTTCTTCGTCGGTTTATGAGCTAAAACATGAATCTGATCTTTGGTTTCGAAAAAGTGTACTTTAATACGTTTGGTACTATCACTTGGATGAGTTATTTCTCCCGTGACCGTAGGTGCTGTCACTGCTGTCGAATTGTCGCTTCCTTCCATGGTCGCCTTAAAACCAGCTTTTTCCTCAATCCACTCGACGTACTGGGACACGTCGGTGTAGATGCCCAGCAAGTTGGGGTTAGCACAATGAAAACCAAAAGATACCAAACCTAACAAAACTCGATTATTCTCTTTTAAGAAGTGTGTTTTACCCATTAAAATGTAGTTGCCGTATTCGTCAATAATTTGAAAGGGGCCACCGCTGTCACCTTGACAGGTATCGATTCCTCCTTGTAGGTACCCGGCACAAAAGGCCCGATATAGTTTCTTCGGGTCGTTACCGGTACTGTTGATCATTTTTCGACATTCCGAATCGGAGTACACCAGAAGCCTTGCCTCGTGTAAAGTACACGGAGTGGAACCGTGGTACCTCAAAGTACCCAAACCTGGTACCCAACCTTCCCGTGGCTTATTTTTGATCTCTGCATATGTTATACTTTAGTCAGTAGACACATTAATAAGTGTTTTACTTACGGGATTTGGGTAAGCAAATGGGTTCGTACGTGTTGGTACTTTCTTTCAAGATCAACACAGCAACGTCGTAGTATGGTATATTGTCTTTATACTTTTCATGCACGTGCACTTTCTGGATAAAAAATGTCTTTTGCGTTTTCTCCTTTTGGCACCTGTTGTATATTCCGAGAGAAACGTTATAAGCATCTTCCAGTTTTTTGTTTCTGTGGAATGGTTTTATTTTTCGTGGTTGTTGGTTTTTGGAAGGACTTACTTGCTGGGGCCGTGTCCAACAAGGTATTCTTTGAAACAGTGTGCCGCAGTGACTACGGTTTTTGTGCCTACCAACGATCCCCCACAGGCTACTATATTCGAAACCATGAGAGCAGCGTACCATGGGTACTTGTAATAACCTACGTCGAAACCTGCGACGATTTTCTCTTCTATAGTTGCGCTTCCGACTGATCTGCCGCATATTTTCCCTGACAAACAAAATCGGTGTACTTATGTTTCTAATTAAAATGGACACTCACCTTCACCTTTGAGTTTGCCAGAAATTAAGAGAATATTCGTGAAAAACGCGAAGCAGAAGCTGACCAGTTTCATGATGGTTGGTCTACATATCGTTTAAAATTAACATACGGTATGTCGCGTTATCTACAAATGCTGAGTATTTTCCGACTTGTGCCAATTCAAGGAGGTTTACTTGCATTTAGGTCGTCGCATTTCAATGTGGAGGCAAATTTTCTTGTGTTTGATCCGATTTTTGAACAAGGTACGACACAATAAAAAATTTCTTAAGACGTTTTTACTTCCCGCGCGTAAGCTGAGGAAGTATTGTATTCGAATCCATGGGGCGACTTGTTTTTCGCGATTTTTCGATTTATGGACTCAGATTTTTGGATTGTTGAGTTGAGCATAGCTGTCTTCAAGGACGCGGAAAGTTCTGTCGAAATAACCTTAGACCAATATTTTCTATTCATATCAGAAATTCAATCATAAAACACCTGTTCCAACGTAGCACGAAATTGGTACTACGAAGTAAAAATCATTCGTAAGTGTAGTCGCATTAAAATTCATATTTAATTTTGCATTCCGATTTGACTTTAATGTGGTGGCATAGTAATGAATAACCTAGAATTTTTTGTGTTATGTAATGACTAATGAGCGTATCGGTGCATGGATTTCTTGGACAAGCAATTGTAGGGACAGCGGCGGCGAAGGCAGTTCTTGCAATATTCTACTATTTTTATTCTAAGAACGAAAGAATGAATATGTATTTTGAGTTTAGAAAATTTTCGGTAACTTGGACTAAACTGATGTTCTCGTTCCAACAACTCGTGTTGCTTTGGGCTTCAGAAAAATGGCCGGCTAATTTTTTTTTAACGGTAGGCTGATAGACGTTTACTAGATTAGATTCAATTTAAGTATGTTTATAACTACGGTGGAACTAGTACCTACACAACATCTGTGTAATTAAAAATAATTCGTTCGGCAACAAAACAGATGCTTGCAATTTTCCGCAACGTGGCGATTTAAATGAAAATGTTTAGATGTAAGTTTTAATTAAGAGTATTGATTAAATTAATTTTCAATTGTGAGACGAAATGAGCTCGTGATTAAATTAGCCGTTTTCATTGGTACCCAGCACGTAATAATCGTCAAATCAAGTTTCAGATTAGTCGAGAATGTTATTCCAGTTTCAGATAAAATGGTGGCGCTTACGATTTTTTTCACGTTAGCCCACAATTGGCCGTTATTTCAAAACCCCAAAATGTAAGTTTCTAAAAAATCTTTATTCAGCGGTAAAAATAACAAAGTGTACATTTACAAAGTAATTAAAACGAGATAACGGTAGCCACATAATTTAATCTTTATTTAAATTAAAAAACGAGGTTTTGAAATAAGTATATGCTTCGTAATTTGAGATCAAATACTTGTGTTTTAAACTTTAATACAAAGCTGGAGAAAAACTATGTAAGTTTTACGCATTTTTATTGTTGTGAAAACAGATTAAGTACATTTTTGCAAAAATTGCCCCTCAAGTAAAATACTTAACCCATTATGATAACACTAACTACCGATTATTTTATTTGAGATTCAATTTTCCTAGCATTAATACAATATTAAATAACACAAAGTCTTGACGGTTTGTAAAAATATTTGGTAATTTGCTTTCGAACTAGTCATCCACTAGCAGTAACGTGTCTGGCACTGATTTCTAAATTGGTTTTGTCGTCAAACTCCGGGCTGTTCAGCAGATCCGCCGGGTCCACTTCGGCCTCACTTTGATTCGAAAACATCGGATGACTTCCGTCGCCTTTTTTCACCACCCTCGTTTTGACCACATCGCCTTTCACCTCCTTCAAGTCGTATACTAACCCCAGAAACGCAAGAACGTCTATGACGAAAGTCGTCACCGAATACCTTACTCCGTACTCGGCGGCCCGGTAATCTGACGGAAAAGCATGATGGTAGTTGTGCCATCCCTCCCCTAGAGCTATCATCGAAATAAGACGATTCTCCACGGGATTCATGAACCTGTAAAAACAACAAACGATAAGATAATCTACTAGACGGTTTTCTTAAATCATACTTGTCGTATGGTTTCGTTCCGTAAAGATGCGCCGCACTGTTGATTAACCACGTCGCATGCAACTGCAAAATGTACCTCGCGAAGTAGCTGACGAACAACGAGTTGATGAAAGTCTCATTCCACCCATAGATCGGAACAGCGATGGGAATGCCAATAGCGAAGATAATATACAAGAATTTGTAGTGTCTGTACAATGAATGGTGAAATAAGTGACGGAATGCCGCTGGACTCATACTCACTCCTTCTGGAACATGACGAGGAAGTCGTTCTCTAGGTCGCTCAGGTCGATGGTTTTGCCCTTGCTGATGACGGCCGGATGCTTTTTGCTCATCAGCCAGCCGATATGTGAGAAGAAGAAGCCCCTGTTGGAGTTGTGGGGGTCGGCGTCGGTGTCGCTGTATCTGTGGTGCTGTCGGTGGTCCCGGACCCATACGTACAGGCAGTTCTGTGAAAAAGTAAATTTCAATCATGTCTGCGTTGTGGACTCGAGCAGCCAAAATGAACAAAGAAGTACCGGGGACTATTAATGATTGAAGCAAATTTTTATGTTGGCGATTCTGAATTACTGGCATCCATGCTAGTGCGTCAGTTTGCAGTTGTCAATTTTGACGTTTAACAAACGTGGTCATTGGTTGAGATGATATTAACTGTCATAAATGTCACCTTGACAAGCAGGTATGCCATCATAAAATTTGAAATATGAAAAGAAATCACGAACATTAATGGTCACTTGGTAGTTATAACACAGCTGTGACAATTAGAGATAGTGGAATAAAACTTGACGTTCGGGCATTACTGAGAAAGGCACAATCACCTTATAACAACGTAGTGATTCGATCTTTACGTTTCTGTGCGTATTTTGCCATTTATTTTTAATAGTTATTTAATTGTTATTAGTTGATCCGTTAATTGTGTCAAAATTAAATGTTCATTAAAAACGCGTTAAATGCGTACTTAAAATTGTGTATGGGGAAGTTTGTAGAATTGGTGAAATTTTTGTTGTGGAGGTTTCATCCGTATGTCAACGGTGGTGCGAGCAGCACTTGGAACACATAAATCTTCAACTAAATACCACAAGACAAGATCTCTTCAGAATTTGAAATTAACAAATAACTGAATTTACTAGGATGATGCTTGGACTATTGCTCTCTCAGTTTTTTTCTTTTGTGACATATTCGCGTCCCGTAACTGCGAATTTTTTTGCATTTTTATTTACGTATCAGACAATGTGTACTGACAACAAATATCACATTACAGTCAACGTTAAGTAATTAGATCACACTGTAATGTAGTGTGTACTAAGCACTTTAAACTCTTACATAATATGTAGTTGAGCGTATTAGTGAGTCTCCGAATGATTTATTTTTACAGTGTAGTATTACACAATTGTGCTTGTAGTACGATATTTCGGTCACGTGTCGCTAGTAATTTAACATTTAAAAAACCGCGGAAACAATTAGAAATCTCGGTCGATTTTGTCCTGAATTTATTGCGTACGATAATTTTTAGATTTTATATCTCATATTGCAGCCAATAGGAAGGTGTTTTGTGAAGCAGACTAAATTTTTGTATGTTAAAAATTTCCATCTGTATTTCCAAGTCCGAAAAATAAGTCCCCTGTTTCTACAAAACTACTGAACCGGTTGCTGTCAAATTTTATATGTGCATTAGGAATCTCGTGTAGATGATAGAACGCCTACCAAAATTTGGCTAATCATTCCCATCAGCAATAAATAGGATCACGTTATCACCAAAATTTACAATAGTAAATATTATTTAAATTTTATAAAAGAAGATACCCCTGCACACGTGGTTTATGAATCCATATTGAATTTTTACCCTAGACATCCAGGAAAAAAATCAAAATTTATAAACAACATTTTACAACTAAACTTTGAAAACCGAATGCTCTGAAAACTTTTAAAGCGTTTTAAGGTTGTCTAAATTATGTATATAGTAAATCGTTAATCAAAATATTTTTGTTTAAGTTTAACTTTTCTTCCACACAGTTGTTTTTAGTATTGCGACATTTATTTAGATGGATTCGATGTTGGCGAAAATCTAATTACGTTGGATTAGATAAAGGACAAGCAAATTACACTTCACACGCAATTAAAGAATCGTATTACAAAAATTTTACTCTGCACTCGACCTGCGTAAAAAATTAATGATGTTATTGTAACCAAATCAATTATGTTCTAAAAACGTAACAATAGTAATGGCCCTTACTTAATTAAATTTGGTCTAAAAAAATTAGATTAAACGATGAATTACGCCATCCTGTACAATCGGCCACTAACAGTAATTTGACATGACGTACCTCGTTGAGAGTAGCGTAAAAATATTAGTTTGTCTACTTTACATGAGGACTTTCTGTATTGCAATTGTACATGGATTGGGCGAAATTTGCCCAAAAATTATTAATTATTACATTTGTTGGAATTTTTTGGCACATTAAAAATCTTGCATTCACATTTTTGCCTTGTAAACAAAGATAGATTTAATAACAAACATGAAAGTAGATATAGGTACAATTTTTTTTTGATAATGTCATTTCATGACGCGCGTTCGCAATTATTGTATTACTTAGTGCAAACCGACCGCGCTCGGCTGCTGAAAACAACAACTAATTAATAAGAGCATCATGTCTTAGAAAGTGCCGCAAATTACTTCGACAAAATACAAATACAACGGGAAGTTTTTTCGCCTTATTAAACTTTTATGTCATCAAGAACAATACCGAAAAAATATTATCCGGCATTATTGTCTGCGGTACAGTGTGCTCATGTAATTTGCGAAATCGTTACACTAGATCCAGCCAAGCGGCTAAGTGCTCGGGAGCTCCAGTGTCGAAATAATTTCGTCCATTTTTTGGCTAATTAAACATTTCCTCAATATTTGATCCGACCGGTATCAAAAACAAATAATTTGAAACGATTATGACGACTCAAATATTGACTTTTTGCAATGGGTACTAATGGGTGTTGACTCACCTGCCCCGCAATGGTGTGCAGAACGATGACGACGAAGCGGATCAGCCAGCTCCCTTTGAAGGCCTTGTGCGAGTACATCCTGTGGGCCCCCAGAGTCACACCTTCGCCCGAAACCACCGTTACGGTGAGAGCTGCAAAGGGCCGTTTAGGGCGCGTTTGACAAACGTCCGAACTCACCCCACAAGGCGGTCCACCAGTGCGCTTTTCCCACCCGGTACACCCCGTAGAATGCCAGGAAATGCAGCACGAGGAATCCGATGGCATTGGGCCAGACGATTTTTCGCTTAAAAGTGTAATCGGTGCCGATTTCTTGTGGTAATAGGGTTTTTTCGTTGTTTTCTAGTTGCTCCTTGATGGCCCCCATGATCTTAAAGTCGTCGAAACTCTTAAGGAGGCACAAAAAAGAACAAAAGCGCGCGTACTTCTTCATCGCGCCTAACATCGAATGAATCAAGATATCGGACAATAAAACGTGCCACTCCAGAGTACCTTAAATTTGGTTCGACTGGTGGGGTTTTCACCATTTTTACGTAAATAAGCGTGAAGAAGTACTCGCGGTACTGGACTCAAACCAAGCCGATCGAGACCGGCCGCTCCTGACGTTGGCAAAACTGCAGGTATTGTTAGTATTCATTGACGTCATAATTTTTTTAATTTTTTATACGTGGTACTTGTGGCGTTAAATTTAACCTAACGCGGTAGCCGATCTAGCCGGTTGTTTAGTTGCAAGTTAGGTACTAATCCGCAAGATTTTTTTTCCAATATCCGCAGTTAGTCGTAGTACCGAACGATAGAAACCCGACGCTGAGGACTTTTGAATATTGCAATCGCGTTTTTCAATAACTGTGACTAGTACTTGTGGTACTGATTTAATCTAACGCGGTAGAAGCATGACTGTTTCTATCACTGATACTGAAAATGATATTGGTAGCGGAAAATTCAAACATTATGGTACTTAATCACCCTTGACGCCAATGAAACTGTAGGTGTTGTGTTCTCGTCTAAAATAAATGATGTGTTTGTTGATGGAAAATTCAGTACTGTGATACTCGGCCGTACTTGACATCGATAAAATTACAAATGTTCGTCAGTAATATAATGTGTGCTGGGTTCCAGAACGATTGAAATGAAATAATCGCAATTAGGTACAGACCGTACCGAATTTGATCCCATAGGCTCTCGGTGCTTGGACGCTGCTAGTTTTAATGAAATTGCAAACCGTGCCAGCGTGCCCAACTCGGATTTCGATAAAACCATAATGAGGTACTTACAGTGGTGAATTTAATCCAACATTATAGGAAATTGCGGTGTGCGACGTTGCAACGACTGATAATATGAGAAAAGTGCAGATGTTTTTTATAGGTGCGAGGGCCGACTTGCCATTGAATTGGACACAATGGATGCTGTGGGATACAGTTCGAACAAAAAAGAATCGCGATTGTAAGTACTAACGGGTGTGATTATATTTCACGGATGTGCACTCGTCAATTACTCACTTAAATTGGGAGATTCGTCGCAGGAAATAATGTCCATATTTCTGCACTACTCGCGGCCGGCACGTTCGAACATTTTAAGAACTGTCCGACTCCCTTGAAACGGTCTGGTGAAATGTAAAGCACGTACTGACTTCTTGTTAACATTAAAATTACTACGACCGGAATAGTGCGACTAATGACTTGTAATGAAGACTCGTATGATAACTTAGTTAGTCATTGTTCTAGTTTCGACATTATTTATTTCTGTTACGGATTCTGAATTTGCCGGATCAGCATTGTGCAGCTAGGTGTCATCTAATAAAGAATAAAATTACGTAACGAGAAACGCTTTTGCAGAAAGCGGACAATAGGAAGTAGGAGGTATTGAAAGGAGTTTTTTGCCGCTTTTAGTAAAACGAATCGAAGTATGAACGTTAGTCTCCAAAATTAAACTTATTTCGTTGCCTTTCTTTTCTAAGAACTTAATTGCAAGAACGTGACTTATTTAGTTAATGTGCGGAATTGGAAAAATGCATTTCTAATAAATATTAATCACGATGATGATACACAATGATAAATGTTATTTTTGTGAAATTCTGTTAATTTGCTTTGGTATAAAACCACAAAGGGCTACTTTTGAGTGGAGTGCCTGCAGTAAATGAATTATCTACAGCTTTGGTGAGCATTATATTCCGGTTATCTCAGCTCTAGTGAAAAATTAGCAAATTAGTGAAAAATTTGATTTTCTTACAAGGTTAAAGAGGTTTAGCTAACTACGAACCATTAAAATAAATTTAAAACAGCTTTTTTAATGAAAAGTTACGTCTAACTAATTATTTGAGAAATAATTGTCCGTCGATTAATTGTTTTCGAGAAGTGACTCTAATATATGCATATACTGCCTTATGTAACACGATTGTCTATAATTCGTGATGTCTTCTCAATGTTTCAAGATCCACAGAGTACGAAAAATAGGTCTTCCATTTCTACTTGTCTGTCTGGAAAAATCATAAAAGCAAAATTGCGTGCAAAATCTATCTGGAAAATCTTCGTAACGACGATTCGTGCTTAATTTTGGACGCTGAAACGTACCTAAAATTAGATTTTAACACCCTTCCTGAGCATCACTATTACAATGTTCTGCCAGTGAGTACACAATCCGTTTTGAAAAATTTGGAGAAAAGGCTCTGGTGTGGCAAGTCATATGTGAATGTGCAATGAAAAGTCAACCGTTTTTTACAACAGGCACTATTTCTTCACAAATTTATGTGAGTGTTTACAGAAACGTCTTTTAAAATTGATCGAAAAAAAAATTAAACATTTGTATATTGGTAAAACTTAACGTGTAAGACATTATATTTCTTAAAATTGTATTGAATTCTAGTTAAAAATGTACTGTTGTTTCATTTAAATTTCGTTTTATCTTTGGAATAATTGACTGTACTAAGCGATAATCAAAATTTGACTAATTGTCTCCACCAACAATAGGGTGACGTGATCTCTTTATAAAATTTACGTCAGTAGACGTTATTCAACTTTGAAATTGCACAACCAAATGTCCTGAAACCTGGCAAACGTTTTAAGTTTATCGAAAATATGGTAATTCGCTAATCAAAATTTATCTATTTACGACTCCCCCAAAACGGTTGACGTCATGTTATAATTTTGCCGAAAAATGGTATTTAAATTTTGTAAAATAACATACTCCTCTGATATTAAGTCCCTATACTTGTGGTTTATGAGTGAATTCATAATTTTTTTAGTTGATTATACAAGGTGATTAAAAAAATAGTGAATGAGGCGATATGTATGGTTGCCCAATCCATTTTCATGAAAATTTGGGTATATATTATTCATAGTATTACACTTCATGTATTCAAATTGATATACGTGTCCTTGTTAAAATGTCGATGAACGTTATCAAAAAATTTTTCTTTGGAAAAACTTTCTAGAAAGATTCGATGCTTCTTTACCTCTACTTTAATAATCCATTTTAGCTCGTGGGGTCATCATAAAGAAATAAAATTGTCAAAGTTAAATTTGATAATTTGTCGAAACTGTATTTGTTCGAGTGTACTTTAGAGGCGAGCGAAGTTCTGTCTATCCTCGACCAATTCTTTAAACAACAAAAACAGATTAAAGTTCTTACAGGTTTTAAGGATTAAAAAAGTGGTTTAGCTAACCAATAAAAAATTATTTTCGAAAAGTGACTACCTGCAACACGATAGTCCATCTACTACTGTTTTCGCGTCCTTCGATAAGTTTATCTTTTGTAAACAATCGGGACCGTAGCAGAAATTGTTCTCTCGAGTTCTTTTCTTTAAAAGTAGGGCATTCTGAGGCCTACTTCACAAATTTAAATTTATTAGCAATTTTTCGTTGATAGTCGTTACACCTGGAAGCATGTTTAATGGCTTTAGGTTTCTTTGTGCACCTTTCTTTATTTAGAATAATAATAATAATAATAAAAGAAAAGAAATAATATGAATAATAAATAATGTGGTGGTTATAAGATTTTATGTGAAGATCGTACCATGTCAATCAATAGTCGATTTCTAGCACCTTACCGGTGATTTTAACTACAACTTCAGCGTCATTTTTTAAAAGTGAAAATCTAAAATCTTTCAAAATAAAATAGTTATTTGGGTTATTATTACAATTTATTAAACTTCTGAGGCCAAATTAACAAGAAAAACTTAATGTCCAGCGTAACAAAAAGTAAGCAGTTTCACATTGATAATCGAGTATTCAATTTCAAGTTTTAACACAATAACAAGCATCCTTCGTGCCATGAATAATCCAAGACAAATGATTGTTAATTTTCGTATACAAGCCAACGCTTTTTGCTTCCGAAACGCATTTATTCTGACTCGTCAAAATTCCTAAAACACCATTCATCCATAACCTTCCACGTTAGATTGCTTTATAATTACCAATCAACTCGTAAATTCCACCGTGTGACCTATACATAACCGGCACTCCAGCATCTTCCTACAACCAACCACAATGTAGTTCAACCACCAAAAAACGACAGTCGCGGACTTACCCCACAAATTACACTAACAGTACCCACCAATCCGATGCATCCTTTATCAGCGCTGAACTCATGAGGTGTATTTTCCAAGCATTCGTCGCCTCCCAAAACTGGCAGGCCCAATTTTTTGGGACGACAGGACGACTCTGTGGCACCCTTATCCTTAGGCCACCCCACCACCGTAGCCACCTGTCCTAAATAATTATAACTCGGGATTGACAAGCAAATCGGCGAAATCCGTCGCTCGAAGACAACAGGAGTGCTCAGTTTCAGCAAAGCGATGTCGTTGGCGTGGTTTTCAGCGCTGAAATCCGGGTGAATGATTATGTCGGAGACGCTAACGTTTGCTGAAGACACATCTGGAATGCACTTGTTGTAGGTGCCTAGAGTGACTTTCACGTGGTACGGCGTCAGTCTAAAATTTACAAGAATGTGAGATGGAATTGTGATTACTTGTATTCACCCAGCTAAAGGCGAAGCCGACGTTATCACGTATCTGTTGTTTATGAGCGTTCCAGGCACACTCTCTACGTGTTGTTCTTCGTGGACTTGTACTAAGGCGACCCACGGGAATTCGTACCCTCGCAGATATTCACCCCCGTGAAACCGCGCTTCTCTGTTCGGGACCCCGCATCCTCAAAAATGACGACAAGACTGACAGATTTATTACGTTTTTAGGTACTTACTGCATTTGTTACACGGGCTGAAAAAGAAGTCGAGGAACCCTTTTTGTGCGATTTTGTCACCGGTGTTGTGCTGAAAAAATATTTGGTTTGGCGATTATTTTGGATTTGCAAACTTACACACGGTGATATAAATACGAATATTATTAAAAGATGTGGCTTTAGTGCTAAGAACATGATGGCTCTGGGACTTGTCGCGGTCTGGGGTCACTGACTTTGTTTTTGCGTTTTGACTTTGGCGAGGATTTCAAACTGAATAGCTGACGATGCGAGTAATAGATATAACGGAAAAATGAAAATTCGGAAATGTGGGTTCGACCTCGATTGCGTCACGAATTTTCACTATTACAATTAGTGAGGTAATTTTAGATAAATAAATGAATGTCTAAACGCATGTGGTGTGGGGAGGAAATTTACTTAAAATTAAAATAAAATTCATTTTACGTTTCGTAATTTAATGTTGGAAGGACTTTCAACATTTTATGTGGTGGTAGAAAGAGAAAGAGAGAGAGGTAGAGTGAGATAAGAAGCGTTATATATACAACAATAATAGATAAACTAGTAGACTTACCTTCATTTGATATACAAATTATAATAATGGGTATTTATTCACTTTATGGACACTAAAAGCACTGAACGTGGCACACATTAGCATTTTACAATTTAATTTTTTTGGTGACACTCGTCTGGAAGGGTCCATACGAAGAAAGACTGATAACAATACAATTGTTATCCGTCGGTATTTCTGAGTTGTGACGACCAGTATTAACATTTTTGTGACATATCTATATTTTTTTAGAAACGCGTATTTTTAAAAAGCAATAATATTTATCACTCGGAAAATGAATGCTAACGAAAATGTTTTAACTGGCAAGGTTGCTTTTGTATTTAAACTTGAACCTATTGTTCTTTCCGTGTTTTTATAACCGCGAAAATTATTTCCACCTTAAAAAAAATGTTTAGAAGAAGGCTATTATTTTTCGCTGTATTTAAAAAATTAATAACACAACCATTTAAAACAATGTCTTTTAATATTTCGCAGTAAACGAAATTTTATCGTTGGTATTTTCATTGTTAGTGACGTTAATATAACCCACCTCATCGATCAAAAAGTAATAAAAGCTGATCCCACTCTGACAGAAGAAACAATCAGAGAGTGGATTTTATTCAGCAGCTTAAAATCTAGACGATCATTATTAAGAAGCTAATATTATTTTAAGTACAGTAAAAGTTCAAATAATTGTTAAACTAAATCAGTTGTACTTACCACGCTTATAACTGCTTCAAGTCCTTTCTTACAAGGAACTACCACTGTAGACTGATTTTGGAAAAACTAATATACAACACTAAACCCTCATATCTTTATAGGTGCTCTGATTATCATATCCATATAATTATTTTTTTTTGCAATGCATATCGTCGAATTCGTCGCTGTTAGTTTACCTGGTTTTGTTATTTGTTCTTATTTACTCAAAACGTCAAAACAAAACAAAACATGTGAAATAACATTGTAAAATAGCGCACTAACTCAACGGTGCGTTAAGTTTATGAGTCCTTACGTTAATCTGACTTTGGCCTCCAAAGTCGAAAGGTCGATTTATACTGATTTAAAATTTGGTAAAAAATAGGCACTGTTGTCATATTCATTGTGAACTTTTTCGGAGATAATTTTGGACAAAATTTTGGTAAAATTCTTTGCCAGATTTTGTTGGGCGATTCTGGAAAAGTGGTAGGAGTTTTGGAAGAAAACAAGGTGGTTGAAAAAGTCAAATTTTTACAAGAGGGAATTACTGAAAAATCTGGGATACAGTGTTTATGCTTCGACTTCTACCATTCATAGGGAAAATATTCCACCGAAAACGAAATTGATACAAAAAAAATACACTCGTATAGCTCATTTAAAGTCTCATTCAACTCATTATTTATTTTAAGGATCTTATAAATCCAGATTTTTGGTTTAAAAAAAAGCTGTTCAATTTTTTTACAGTTTCCAAAAAAATTAAAAAGCCACCGACATACCACTACAAAATCCTTTTTTTGCCAAAATGTAACTTGCATGACAACATCTCGCACGACTATCTTATGGTAATTGCCGAAAAGTGGTTGACTGGATTGCATGGCAGATGGGTTCACAGACAGTCGTTCTTTTTATAAATAATAATATGTTGTTGTCATATAACAAGTTTCAAATCCTGTGAAGGAGTTCTAATCGTTTTGTTCAAAAAACTGTATTCTTCCCAGCTTGATGCCAAAACAAGTCATCTGTGTGCTGGGGGATTTTAACCTGCCCAAAGTCACTTGGCTCCCAAATGAAGATAACAATCGACTCTTTCCAAACTGTAGTAAAATATTCGTGGTTAAACAGTCTTCCACAGCGACATGTTTTGTGGTTTTAGTCATTAAGGTTTGGACTTAATATTTCACCTAACTACTGACGGACGTGATCCTTTCTTAAATTGTGGTCTCTATCATCTACCTATAGTCAAACATGTTTTTAGTGTTGATTTTGTCCGCGAAAAGGACGAACATTCTGTCAGAAATTTTGGCGTTTTGTTCTTAAATTATTAAGTGTACCGTATAGCATGAATTGAAAGCATAGTTTTAAATAAAATTACAACCTACTTTAAAAAAATTAGAAGATTTTAAATTATAATATTCACGTCAACTGCAATTTATGCGATACTGAAAAAAATGTGAAAAGCATATATTGTCTTATGTAACACGATTGTCTATGATTCAAGTTTTCTCAACGTTTCATGATCCATAGAGTACGAAAAATAGGTCTTTCGTTTCTGCTTGTCTGTCTGCCGTTTGTCCGAATTTTTCTTAGACAATGAAGTTGTAGTTAAGATCACCGCTAAAGTGCTTAAGAACTTACCGGTGATCTTAACTACAACTTCAGCGTCATTTTTTAAAAGTGAAAATATAAAATCTTTCAAAATAAAATAGTTATTTGGGTTATTATTACAATTTATTAATCTTCTGAGGCAAAATTAACAAGAAAAACTTAATGTCCAGCGTAACAAAAAGTCAGCAGTTTCACATTGATAATCGAGTACTCAATTTCAAGTTTTAACACAATAACAAGCATCCTTCGTGCTATGAATAATCCAAGACAAATGATTGTTAATTTTCGTATACAAGCCAACGCTTTTTGCTTCCGAAACGCATTTATTCTGACTCGTCAAAATTCCTAAAACACCATTCATCCATAACCTTCCACGTTAGATTGCTACGAAGTAAGACTGATAACAATAAAATTGTTTTCGGTCTTCAGTATTAACATTTTTTGTGACATATCTTACATATATATATTTTTTTAGAAACGCGTATTTTTAAAAACCAATAATACTTATCACTCGGAAAATGAATGCTAACGAAAATGTTTGAACAAGGTTGCTTTTGTATTTAAACTTGAACCTATTGTTGTTTCCGCGTTTTTATAACCGCGAAAATTATGTCCACCTTAAAAAAATTGTTTAGAAGAAGGCTATTATTTTTCGCTGTATTTAAAAAATTAATAACACAACCATTTAAAACAATGTCTTTTAATATTTCGAAGTAAACGAAATTTTATCGTGGGGATTTTCATTGTTAGTGACGTTAATATAAGCCACCTCATCGATCAAAAAGTAATAAAAGCTGATCCCACTCTGACAGAAGAAACAATCAGAGAGTGAATTTTATTCAGTAGCTTAAAATCTGGACGATCATTATTAAGAAGCTAATATTATTTTAAGTATAGTAAAAGTTCCAATAATTGTTAAACTAAGTCAATTATTGTACTTACCACGCTTACAACTGCTTCCAGCCCTTTCTTACAAGGAACTACGACTGTAGACTGATTTTGGAAAAGTAATACGTAACACAAGACCCTCATATCTTTATAGGTGCTCTTATTAACATATCCATCTAATTATATATTTTTTTGCAATGCATATCGTCGTACTTAGTTTAAGCGGTTTTATTTTTTACCACTATCGGCTCAAAGTAAAACATGTAGAATAACATTAGTACAGTTGATTGCTATAAAAAATATAATTAAAATATAAATATATACCTACCTATATTAAAAACGGCGCACTAACTCAACGGTGCGTTATTAAGTTTATAAGTCCTTACGTTAATTTCAAAAGACGAAATGTCGATTTATACAGATAGATTAAAATTTGTGAAAAATTAGCCACTGTTGTCATATTCATTGTGAACTTTTTTGGCGGTAATTTTGGACAAAAAGTTTTAAATTTCAAAGCTTACCAGACAACATTTTTTTCAATCATGTGTTGTTACTGTTTTATAGTGTCTTAAACTCTGACTGTAGATATAGGTTTTGAATTCTTTCCCAAATTTTGTTGGGCAATTCTGGAAAAGTGGTAGGAGTTTTGGAAGAAAAGAAGGTTGTTGAAAAGGTCAAATTTGTCATAAGAGGGAAGTACTGAAAAATTTTGAAGGAGTTGTCCGAAAATCCACAAAAAAATCTGGGATATAGTGTTTATGCTCCAGAAGCCAGATTTTAGAAATGTTCGCTTCCTAGTCACCTGTATTGACCATCTTCTTCCATTCATAGAGAAAATATTCCACCGAAAACGAAATTGATCCTATGAAGGAGTTGTAATAATTATGTTCAAAAAACTGAATTCTAAAAAAAGTATTCTAGCAAATTATTATTAAATTATTAATTAGGAGTATTAACTATTCTTTAAAATAAATCAGACAACCCTGTTACTACAGCCCAAAAATTTCCGGTCCTACTGTAGGAAGCTTTAGCACATTCCCCTTTCTTGTCAACTTTTTCTTTCATTATTTAGTGTTGGTTTTCGTTCTTAAAATATTAAGTGTACCGTATAGTATGAATTGAAAGCTTAGTTTTAAATAAAATTACAACCTAATTTAAAAAAATTAGAAGAAAAAACGTTTTCGAGAAGTGAGATACTGCCTTATGTAACACGATTGTCTATGTTTCAAGTTTTCTCAACCTTTCATGATCCATAGAGTACGAAAAGTAAGTCTTTCATTTCTGCTTGTCTATCTGCCGTTTGTCGGAATTTTTATTGGACAGTTAATCTCTGGAACTACTGGACCGATTGTTGTCAAATTTTATAAAAAAGTATATTTGGAATATCGTGTAGATGGTAACTGATAATCAAAATTTGGCTAATTGTCCCCATCAACAATAGGGTGTCGTGATCTATAAAATTTATGTCAGTATACATTATTTAAATTTGAAATTGCACGAGCAAATGTCCTGAAACCTTGCAAACGTGTTATGGTTTACGAAAACATGGTAATTCGCCAATCAAAACTTATCTAATTACGACCTACCTACAACGGATGACGTCATCATATAATTTTACCTAATAAAGGTTATTTAAATTTTGTAAAATAACATAGGTACTCTTAAATGTGTGACTTATGAATCCATCTCAAACTATTATTATAGACATGCAGATTTTTGGGAAAAAAATCAAAATTGTGTAATAACATTGCAGTTTAACTTTGAAACTACAAAACCAAATGCTCTGAAATCTTGCAAACGTTTGACTGTTTCAAAAATAGTTGTTGACAATCGGTCCAGCAGTTTCGGAGATTACGTGTCTAATAAAAATGGTTACAGATAGACAGACAGAGGGAAACGGGAGTCTACTTTTTTCGTATTTTAGGGGTCATAAAAGTCGAGAAAACATGAAAGTGGCAATTCGTCCGATGGATTCGTTTACTATACTTCCTTAGCGTAGGTACACTCGGGAAGTAAAAACGATGTATGTAATGAAATCTAGTATTATTATCTAGACATGGTGTAAGATTTAATTATTAACGTCTGTTACATACATTACATATTACATTAGGTACTTTATTATCTACGTCGTAGCGACTACGCTTCTAAATTGCACAGAATGCCTACTTAAGTTCTGCTATCTCGTATATCACAAACAACATATCTACATCCACCTTCAGTCTTCGCAAAAACAACCATCTGCAGAATTTTGCAAAATCCAATCCAAATATCGTGTCACACGGGTGTACACTCCTGGATATCCCGGTCTCGCACATCCATTTCCCCACGAGACGACCCCTAAAAACCCATCGTAAATACTGATCCTTGGTATTAATTAGGGTGAACCCTTCAAATACCGATTAATTCGTATCTTTTATCCTTTCTTTGCGTCACCAAAGGTCCACCGCTGTCACCCTACACCAAACCGTTAAAATAACGCTCTCACAACAACGTAAAGTACCTAACCTGACAGGAATCCTTTTTACCCACAGCAGGATATCCTGCACACAACATATTATCGGAAATCATCTTCGCCGAGTAATTGGTATTCCTGCACTCCTCATTACTCAGCACCGGTACATCAACTTCCTGCAAGATACAAGACGGCTTCCCGTCCTCCTTCAGAGTCCCCCATCCCGTAGCCACCGCCGTCGACCCCACGTACAAATTATCTGCAAAACCAACAAAATGCTGAAATGCCACCTGTTTCCGGAGCGCTCAAATCGTCACCTTTCAGCTTGGGCAAGCAAATCGGCTTGATGTTCTGCGTGATCGGCACCCGATCGTTGAGCCTCAGCAGCGCAATGTCGTTGTCGAAGTTGAGGAAACTGAAGGCTCCGGCGATGGCCCGCAGGACGAACCTGGACTCCGGGCGCTTGGCGTCCGAGCAGCGGTCGTGTTCGCCGAAAGTCACCTTGATCATGAACCACATGAACCTGCGAAAACGAAACAGGTAGCACGTTTTCGAACAAATCGAATCCTTGGGAAAAATTCGGCTTAATCGAGGCCACGGCGCCGATAATAAACTTACAAACCGCAAACTGGTTTGGGCCACTTTTTGTTTACTGCAATGGATGCGCAATTGCGGCTTTTGAATAACTCTGGGCGAAGGTGCAAGAACGCACTTTTGTTCTGGTGTTTAACACCCGACATAAACATGGATGTAATTGTTTCGCGCGAAGCCGTAAAATATTAATGAGTTGTTGTTACCCTTTAACGCAGTGGGCTGCAGTTAGGACGTAGCGGTCATTGATCAGCATTCCTCCACAGTAGAACCTGTTGAAGTAGGAAAGGCGGGCCATCCATGGAAATTCGTTTTCGTTTGTGGGCTTTCCGCCGACTATGCGGCTGTTTTCGTTGCGTTCGCCGCAAGCTGCAACAGGGGGTGAGATCACGGGTTGAGAAAAGGAGGATAACTTACTGCAAGTGCAAGGAGACGAGGGGCTGTCGTGACGCGGCGGAGGGTGGTTTCCGAAAGACCCGAATTTCGGGCCGAAGATTTTCTTGGTTATGGTGTTTTGAGCGCGGGCTTGCTGGATCTGGAACGAAAAACCGGAAAGGTGTAGTTGGACAGAAGTAGATTCTGCTGTTCTGCTTAGACATGTAACAGCGACGAAGTTTTCGGTATTTTGAAAAAATTCAAAATTCAAAGAGTATGCGTTGTGTCTAAGAATATAATCTAATGTAATATTTATTTTGTTTAAAGAAATATGATTGTCCGCTTCAATCTGTTTGGAGTCATGAATATTTTACTGTACTGACAAACTTGATTCATTTGTTATTTTAAAGCAAAGTAAATGTCAAGGGAAGCAACAAATACATAAAGAAAAAAAATTAGAGATCAGGTCTAGGTTTATAAAATTTGATAATTTTTTGCCACACTGTGTATAACTGGTAGATCCCCTTAATTAAATAATTCAATTTTTTTCAATTTAAGTTTAAAATTGCAAAATCGAATGCTCTGAAATAGTTATTTCCAACGTTTTAAAGTTATATGATAAATCCTTCGTGCCCCTCCAGGAGTTGATGTCAAATAAATGTTATTTAAATATTAAAAAGTAACAACTTGTGGTTTATGAATCCGTGTTGAATTTTTATCCTAGACATCGAGATTTTTTAATAATTCAAAATTGCAAATACAACAATAATTTCTCGATTTCTTGATGTTTTAACTTTAGATTTGCCAATTTTTCAGTATTTCAGTTTTGGCATTTTTCAGGTTTTTGTTTTTCAATTTTTCGATATTTTAATGTTGGCATTTTTCAATTTTTCGATTCTTCAGATTTTCCATCTCCGGATTTTTCATTTTTCGATTTCTCAATTTTCCGATGTTTCAGTTTTACGATTTTTCAGTTTTTCGGTTTTTGACGTTTCTAAATTTTCGACATTCCAGTGTTTCGATTTTTGAGTTTTTCAATTCTTCAAGTTTTCGGTTTTTCAATTTTTTGAATTTTCGATTTTTCGATTTCTCGATTTTTCAGTTTTCGAATTTTAAATTTTTCCTCAGTTTTGAGATTCTTTAGTTTTTCTATTCGTCAGTATTTCTTCCATTTTTAAGTTTTTCGAAATTTCAGTTTTGGGATTTTCAATATTTCTATACTTTCGAGTTTCTACTTTTTGATTTTTTGGTTATCCAATTTTTTTATTTTTCAATTTTTAACCGAAAAGTTGGTTTTTAGATTTTAGTCTGTTTCGATTTTTCTGTTTTTCTAATTCTCAATTCGATATCTCGTGCTTTCGGTTTTTGAATTTTTCGATGTTTCGATTTTTTTAATTTTCCAATTATTCGATGTTTCAGTTTTCCAGTTTTTCGATTTTCCAATTTTTCGTCATTTCAGTTTTGGAATTTCTCCATTTTTTGAATTCCTCAATTTTCCGATATTTTAATTTTTTTGATTTTTATTTTTCGATTTCTCAATTTTTGAGCATTTCAATTTCTGGATTTTTTAATTCAATTTCAATATTTTAATGTTTCGATTTTTCTAGTTTAATAAATACTAATTCGAAAAAAAACACTTGAGTACTAAAAAAACAAATTTGCACTTAACTAATACACTACAAAGTGTTTCAATTAAAAACATCTGGTGAAAGCTATTTTGTAATTCAAATCGCTCCGCAGAATTGAATTATAACCACACATAAATTTCATCGTGACGCGTACAGAGCTTCGTTCACGCAGTTTAATTCAAATTAAATATTTTTAGGTCAAAATTTAATGCGTAAATGCGTAACCTTAGTGAATGACTGGTTTTTTTAACGGTTTAAATACTAGTCCTAATAAACTGCGCCCATTTTAAAATGACTTAGAAAACTTTACACAATGGACACTACCGTTAGTGTTTGATTTAGGTTTCTCGGTATTTATACAGAATTCCAGAATTCGTAAAACAAGAATCAGCGGTATGTGGAATTCACTCATCATTTAACTCAGTCGACGTAAAATATTTTTAACAGAGGAGCTGTATCTCAGTTAATACAGAGTAAGTTCGTAATTTTTTCCACTTTAAATTTTGATGTATAAAAAAAAAACAAAATAGAGTTATAGCAAACAAACAATAGTATTTTTCATAGAAAATGCGTAGGATTCGCAAAATACATCAATCAAGTGTGGGAGTGTTTTTCTTCAAAAAATTTAATCTAAATGTGGTAGCTCGCACCTTCGTGTTTGAATTACAATTAACATTTTCCAAATAGTTAACGGGTTTTGTTTGTACGTGTTTGGAATCGGCGTTGCCAATATTGTGTAGGAATGTTGTTTCCATTTTTAAATAGCGCGATTATTTTTCTTGCGAATTTCGTTAATTTTCAGAGCAGTTGTACAAGAGTTTAATTTCGGAAAAAAAATTCCAGGACTTGTAACACATCTGTGCAAGTCGCATTAGTCGGAAATGGCAATTTAATCTAGACATGAAATCGCTAAGTAAAACTCGCGCGAAGAATCTTCGCCAAGATAAAAACTGGAGACTTACTTACAGTTCCACTTTCTGTAAGAATCAACGGGAGAAGCACCACACAGGCGACGACTTGAGGCGAAACCATCATGTTTAATTTAACTACAGAACCACAGTGAAGTTCGAAACTAGCATGAACCACAGCACATTGGTCTTCGCTCCAGCACCAACAACTTCTGGTTGCGAACTGTCAGGGAATAACTCGAAACCCGCCAGACTCAAACACGTTGATTAACATTAATAATACCTGAATGTTAGTTGTTTTGGAAATTATCCTACTTTTTCTACCGCAACCACTACAGGAAAATGTAATTATGGAAAATTCTTCGAACGACTGATTGGATGCGCTGTCATTAGTTATCAGTCGCAGGACTTTTGTGTGGCACGTCCGTGTGGAATGAGTCTGCAGACGTCTTATTAATTTCGAACTATAATAGTGCGGGAAGTGATTGAGTTCGAGCATATGCTTCTGCCTTGGAGGGCATTGACTCGTAATTTGTTACCTTATTGTAGTTTTTATTTATGTAATTAGCATACCAAGTATGCATAATCTTGCGTACCGGTTCAATGGAATAATCGGACAGGTCATAATTCTTCTCGAAATAGGCAGCGTCTTTTCGAATTTTTATTTCGTAAAATGTTTAAAATAAATACATTATGAACACACGCAGGTATCGTCGAGGTTGTACTTCAACCAGTTAAGATATTTGGAGACTCTCGTGTACACCCCTGGGTAGCCCGGACGTCCACAGCCCACTCCCCACGACACGATTCCTGCAACAAACAATTCCTTGACACTTAATGCAGAAAATTACACCGAAGAAGAAAGTAATAACCGACGAGCAAACAGTCGCGTACTCGATGGGTACTTAACAAACCAAACAAAGATACAAACAAATTTTTTCCGGATAAATATTTCGTCAATTTTCTATTTATTTTAACGTACCGGCAGCTGCGCCAACAACAATTTCGCATTCCATTTCCAGAACCATTCCAATAAATTATTTACTTCGAAACGAGAATTTAGTCGATCGACCTGTTCTGTATTTGTTTTAAGCGCTTTCGTAGAGGCAGAAAAGTTTGTTGGCCGTCCAAGGACGGTCTGACAACTCACCTACAATTTCGTATTTATCTCCGTTTGGAACCAATAGTGGTCCGCCGCTGTCGCCCTGACACGAATCCATGGCACCTCTTCCTGCGCACAGCATGTACGAAGTTATTCTGGACGCCCTGTATTTCATGGCCCTGCACTGGGATAGCGTCAGGATGGGAACCTCCACCTCCTGGACCACGTTGGGCAGCATGCCGCCCTCGGTCGTCCTGCCCCAGCCCACCACCGTGCCGGTTTTGCCGGCGGGGTCTTTTCCTAAAATACGCAAAAAACTAAAAATTCAAAATGTTTACAGTTTTTTGGTTTTACTTTTCGAGCATAAGCTCTAAAGAATTTTGTCGAATAAATGTTACATAAATGTTAAAAAGTAACATAGTCCTGAACGTGTGATTTATGAATCCGATGAATTTTTATCGTAGATATTGAGATTTTTGGAAAAAAATCGGAATTTTGCAGGTTTTGTTTTCTCAGTTTTTCGAATTTTTTTTAATTTCCCGATTTTCCAATTTTTTAATTTCTCCATTTTCAATTTTTCGATTACTCAGTTTTTCATTTTAGGGATTTTTCGATCTTTCAATACTTCAATTTTAAGCGTTTCTAAATTTTCGATTTTTTTTTTCACTTTTCGATTTCTCCATTTTTCGACTTTTTGACTTTTAGATTTTTGATTTTTCGATATTTTAATTTTCCCATTTCTCGATTTCAGTTCTTCAATTTTTCGATTTTTCAATATCTCGTTTTTTCGATATTTCAGATATGGGATTTTTCAATTTTCCAGTTCTTCGGTTTTTTTCGGTTTTTTAATTTTTCGATTGATCGCTTGATCAATTTTTCGATACTTGTGTTCTGAGATTTTAAATTTTACATTTTCGATTCCTCGATTTCTTGTTTTTTTGACTTCGAATCTTTCGATTTTTCAATTTTTATCAGTCTTTTGATTTCTCGATTTCTGTTCCATGTTTCGATTTCTCAATTTTTCTATATATATCATTTTTGGGAATTTTCAGTTTTTTGACTTTTAAATTTTCCGATTTTTCAATTTCTTGATTTTCAATTTTTTGATTTTCCATTTTAGGAATTTTTCAATTTTTCGATTCTTCAATTTCTCCATTTTTCAAGTATTCGATTTTATTATTTTTCGATTTTCCGACTAAACGACTTTTTTTTATTTTTCGACGTTTCGGTTTCTCTAGTTTTTGACTTTTCGGTATTTTGATTTTCTCGATTTCAATTCTTCAATTTTTTGATTTTGGAGGATTTTTGATTTTCCAATATCTCGTTTTTTCGATGCTTCAGTTATGGTATTTTTCAATTTTTCGATTCTTCAGTTTTTCTTCGATGTTTAAATTTTTCAAATTTTCGATTTATCAATTTTTCCATATTTATGTTTTGGGATTTCTTAGTTTTTCAATTCTTAAATTTTTGATATTTTAACTTTTTGATTTCTTAAATTTTAGATTTTTCGATTGCTCGATTCTGCGTTTTTTTATTTGTCAATATTTCGATTTTTCAATTTTTCGTTTTCTAAATTTTATGTTTTTCAAGTTTTAAATTTTTCGATATCAGTTTTTCGATTTCTCGGTTTATGGAGATTCGTTGTTCGATGTTTCGATATTTCATTGTAGAGATTTTTCAGTTTTTTGATTTTTCAATTTTTCGATTTTTCATTTCTTCGAATTTCCAATTTTTTATTTTCTCGATTTTCAAGTTTTCAATTTTTTTTTTTCAATATTTCAATTTTTGGTGTTTCTAAATTTTCAATTTTCCGGCCAAAGGATTTTTCTTTTTTATTTATGTTTCGACGTTTCAACTTTTAAATTTTGATTTTCTCATTTCTCGACTCAATTTTTCGATTTTGCAGGTTTTTATTTTGCAGTATGTATATATTTTGTTTTTTCGATGCTTCATATCTTCATTTCTTGATAGATATTCTTCAATTTTTGATATTTTAACTTTTAGATTTCATAATTAGATTATTCGATTTTTCAATTTTTCGTTTTTTAAATTTTACATTTTTCGATTTTTCAGTTTTTATCACTTTTATTTCTCGATTTATGAAATTTCAAGAATTCGATTTTTCAATTTTCCGATTTTTCTTAAATTTATTTTTGAAATTTTAATTTTTCTCTGTTTTTAGATTTTCGATTTTTACACTTTTCGATTTCTCGATGTTTGAATTTTCCAATTGTTCGTTGTTTCGATTGGTTCGATTTCTCGGGGTTTTCGTCAATCGGCTTTTTGATTTTTCAATTTAAGGAGTTTTAATATATATTTCAATTTTCTGATTTTTTTAATCTTCCATGTCTTGACTTCACGGTTTTTCAATGTTTAAAATTTTTCGATTTCTGGATTTTTCAACTTTTCGATATTTTATTTTTAGATTTCTCGGTTTGTCGATTTGTCGAATTCTTGACTTTTCGATTTCTCTATTTCTTGATCTTTAATGTTTCGATTTCTCGATGTTTCAATTTTTCAATGTTTCGGTTTCCAAATTTCTCGGTTTTTCGATTTTTCGACTTTTCAATTTTTAGATATTTTAAATTTTCGAAAATTGAAATGTTCGATTTTTTTTATTTTCGATTCCTCCAATTTTCAATTTCTCCATTTCTCGACTTCTCGATTTTTGGATTTCAGAATATCCCGTTTTTCAACTTTCGATATTTTGTATTTTCTGTTTCTATTCTTGGATTTTTCGATTTTTTTTACAATTTGTTTTCTTTTCGATTAAATTTTTGATTTTTCAAATTCTGTAGTTTTCTTCAGTTTTTAGATTTTTCAAATAGTCTTTGAATTTTCAGTTTTTTTACTTTTCGATTTTCAGTTTTTCCATTCTTCAGTTTTTCGATTTTTCAATTAAATATCTATTTTACTTTTTGAATTTTTGATTTCTCGAGTTTTAGATTTTCAATATTCAAATTTTCAGTTATACTAGTTTTCGATTTTTCAAGTTTGTTAGAATTTCAATTTTTATATTCGTCAGTTTTTAGACTTTTTAATTTTTTTAATTTCCGATTTCTCAAATTTTCATTTTCATTCTTAAGTTTTCGATTTTTCAATCTTCTTTTCGATTTTTTGATTTCTCGAGGTTTTGTTCCTTCGATTTTTCAATGTTCTATTTTCTGACTTTCCGGAAGATTTTTCAAATTTTTGATCTTGTTTTTCCATTTTTCCATTTTTCAATTTTTGGGAGTTGTTATTTACTTTATAGGGGTAAAAAACAAAAATCGCGAAATCAAATTTTATAGTTTTTCAAAGAAGTAAGATTTATTGGGGCTAATTTCAAGGGCGAGTGAAATTCTGTCGACCAATTTTTTTTGTTTGTAAAATTGAATGCGCAAAAGTTCCTTCACACCAACACAAATCTCCTCCATACCTGTGGGCAAACAAATCGGGCGAATATTTTTGGAAAACTCGACCGGTTTCCGCAGCTTCAGCAGCGCGATGTCGTGATTATACGACTCTTGATCGAAATTCCTGTGGCGGATTATGGCGGACACGGCCCGCATTTTCGCCGGTGTGTCTTCGGTCGTCGACTGGTCATGGTCCCCCAGGATAATCCTAATTTTCGACCGCTTCAGCCTACAATTTCAGCCCTCGTTAGTCGTTACCAGCCCCATGGCAACCCACCCGTTCCATATGGTCGTACCTTCGTACGCAGTGCGCGGCCGTCAAAACGTAATCCTGGGTGATCAGCGACGCCCCGCAGTGGAAGTGCCCATCGTACACGATTCTAGCAACCCATGGGTACCTGTTAATGCCGGTCGGTCGCCCCCCGACTATTCGGTTTTCTTGGTTGGTCTGGCCGCATTCTGGAAAAAAGTCTAGATGGAGGTCAGGTTTGTACAATGGAAAGAGTGGTTTTTAAATAAGAAAGCGGGTTTAAGCGAGCGTTTTTTGACGAACTTACCGCAAGTACAGTTTTTGGTTTTTCCTCCGTCGTCGTCGTCGTCGTCGTCGAGGGAGGCGACGCCGCCTGTTAGAAATGATGTCAAGCCGAAGAGTTGGTTGAAGAGGAATTTGCCGCTGCGGGCTGGTATTCGCGAGGTCGCGTTTGTCACGTGGAATTTGTTTTTCTGTAAAAATGAAATAGAAATCAGGGAGTTTTTTTCTTGGAGATTTACATTGTGAGAGTTGTTTGGGTATGATTTACATATAGGTCCTTTCTCTTGGCTTTTAAGTACTTCTGAGAGGCAGTTTAATACGTTAAGGTGGGCTTAGCATAGTTTTTTTATTCTAAATATGTGGAACTAATTTGGTAAACACTTTAGGCATACAACTAACAATTTGACAAAAGCACTGGTCAAACTTTTTGTAAGCAAGTTACATTAGGACAAAATTACACTTTTTACTTATATTTTAAAAGAAAATAAACCTATAGTCCTTTAAAAAGACTAAATAACTGAAAAATGCAATAAAATACATATATCGAAAAATTAAAATTAACGATGACGTCAAAACTAGAAAATTTCAAATTTGCTTCCACTGCATGATGCACATTTTTGTGTCGAAGAAAATATTTATAGTAAATTTGTTTTGTAAAATGTGTTTGTCTGAATAAGATATTTTTAAATGTGATGCGGTGTCTGACGAATCCACTAACAAACTGGAACTACAAAACCAGAAGCATATGCAAATTATGAAAGTAGTACAAGTGTTTACAAGAGCTTTTTAAGAACGCAAATATTTAGCCAAACTTTAATTACTGTTTGTTTAAAAAATTGGCCGAAAATTATTTCAACAGAACTTCCCTCGCCTCTGAAATGCAGGCGAACAAAACAAACATAAATTAAAATACCGAAATATTGATTTGTTGTTAAAAAACTGAGAAATGGATCATTTGAAATATCAAAAAATAGAAAAAATTTAAAAACGGAGATGTCAACAAATCGGAAAATTGAAGTTTTCAAAATTAAAAATAGTCAAATCACAACATCAAAAGATCAAGAAATCGAAAAATTGGAAAATTAAAAAAAAATCTGTGAATCAAAAAATTCACAAATTGAAAAATGAAAACCGAAAAATCTAAAACCAAGAAGTCGTTAAACCGAAAAATTAAAATAGTATAAAATCGAAAAATTAAACATTGAAAATTTGCAAAATTCAAAAAGGATAAATCGAAAAATCGGGAAATTGAACAATCGAAAAATCGAAACATCGAAATCTCGATAAATCCAAAAATCGAAAAATAGAAAATCAAAAAATTTAAAAACTGAAAAATTGAAGAATCGAAAAATCAATGATTTCAAAAATTGAAAAATTGAAAAACCACAAAATCTATACACGAGAAGTCGAAAAATCAAAAGATCGAGATGTCGAAAAATCAAAACTCTAAAACCTAAAAATTTGAAAAATTGGAACATCGAAGAACTGAAAAATCGAAAAATTAAAATGTCGTTAAATCGAATCGTCAGAAAATGGAAACATTGAAAAATGGAAAAATCGAAAACGTAAAAAACCCAAAAGTCGAAAAATCGAAAAACTTAAGAATCCAAATGTTACAAATCCCAATTACCAAAAATTGATAAATCGAGAAGTCCAAATTTTTAAAAATCGAAAAACAAATGTGAAGAAATCGAAAATTGAAGTTTTAAAAATGAGTTAAATCGAAACATCAAAAAATCGTAAAGTTGAAGAATCGAAAAACTGACAAAAAATCGAGAAATTGGAGAATCCCAAAACTGAAATCTCGAAAGATTGAAAACTCGAAACATCAAAAAATTTGAAACATCGAGAAATCGAAACAACAAAAGTCAAGAAATCGAGAAATCGAAAAACTGGAAAATTAAAAAATCTGTAAACCAAAAAATTGAAAAATTAAAATTGTATAAAATCGCAAAATTAAATATTGAAAAAATGCAAAATTTTAAAATTAAAAATCGATAAATCGAAAAATCAAAAAATTTAAAAATTGAAGAATCTAAAAATCAAATATTTAAAAATGGAAAAACCGAAAAGTCGAAATATCCAAAGATCGAGACATCAAAATATCAAAAGATCGAAAAATCTAAAATTTAAAAATTTGAAAAATGGAAACTATGGAAGAACTGAAAATTGAAAAATTAAAACGTCGATAATCCGAAAAAAACGTAAGAATCGCAAAATCTAAATATCGAAAATTTTAAAAATTGAAAAATTAAAAACCTGAAAATCGAAAAATTGAGAAACTAAAAAATCGAGAACTCGAGATGTCAAGCAATCGAAACGTCGAAAAGTCGAAAAATCAATAAATGGAAAAATCGAAAATTTAGTAACTCTAAAAATTGAAAAATCGTAGGACGGGAAGATCAGAAATTTAAGAAATCGAAAAATAAAAAATCGAGAATTAGAAGATTAAAGAAAATGATAAATTGAATAATCGAAAAATTGAAAATCGAGAAACTGGAACAATGACAAGGAAGTTAAAAAATCGAGGAATCGAAAAATCAAAAAGCCGAAAAATTTAATACTGATTCATCAATAACAAGTTCAAGACTATGTTCCTTTTTAACATTTAAATAACATTTATTCAGCAAAGTTGTATTAATTCCTGAAGAGGAGAGGGAAACGGATAAATGTTGATTAACGATTTACCATGCTTCGATTACAATACTTCCTTAGTTTGTTTGAGATCACACTAACCACAATTTTGACGTGTTATCAATTACAAATTTAAAAAAAGAAAAAAACTTTAAACACGTAAAAAATGGAAATGGTTGTTTTTTTGTGTTACATATTTCGAGATACTTTCAGGTAATAAGCACTGAAGATTCATTTTCATGATTTGATGGGTTGTCACGATACTAACTTCTAAGTATTGGTTCATCACGCCTAATCGATTATGATTATATTCACCATTTATTTACTGCCAATTTGTCTAATATAACCACATCACTGGATAAACCTTTAGAAATAGTGAAAGTACAACACATTTTTGACTTATCTTATTCATCATAGTCATTAAATTTTTGCCTGTGTCATCAGATTTAGTAGTATTCATAAAATACTAAGCACGAAATTGTACTACTTTCAAATCAGGTTTTAATGAAAGTCATTTTTTCCAAGTGAATTTTCCCAAGATCATCTGATTTTTTTGTTGTATTATGTACTGGAAAACAACAATAAGTGGAGTTCAAAATAAATTTTTGAAACGATTTAAATATGTTGGAAGAAAATAAAAGTAAATTTAGTGAAAAAAAAAATTTTTTTTGGTTTATTACAAAGTGGAGCCCCTGGAACACACACACATGACTGCATGACATCGTATTAATTTTATTTTTTTTTTAAACTAAATCGTCATAAGGCAATAGCAGTTTTTTGGCTGGCTGACTATGACATTCATTATTAAATATAACATGTGGGAAAGTTGCTAGGTCGAGAATCCCTCGCGTTTGACTATTAACACGTGCAAGCAAGGAGCTGCCAAATTTCTGCCGGTTCTGGCATAGATTTCGACTATCATAATGAAAAAAAAAAATAAAACTCTAATCTGAAATCTCTAATTATGTTAATTATTATTTTAATTTTTCAAAAAAGCTGAGCCATTATTATTAAAGGCTGGAAAACCCGCTTAATTAAAGGCCGTCTGTCGTATCGTTCCACTAATAACGACAAACGTGTCAACGCAAAGAAATTATCGTCGTAATTATATTTGTCGTTCTTTTTGGTTTTGTCGTCGACGATATAATTAATGAAGTCACCTGTTCGTAGTTGCTTAACTTACATCGACAGTGGCTATAAGTCCCTTAGTCGACGGCACAACCAACAGGCAAGACAAGCAGATCACGTGTACGATTTTCGGATTCACTGGCATTTTCGTCCGCACATCACTCACACTTAATTATCGCAATAATTGCAAACACAAACTCGCCAATTCCAGTCTTGCACCGACACCACAGCGACGGAATTTATTTACGTTTTAGGTTAGTAACGTTAAAAATAATAATTAGTTAAATTCACGTGGTGCTTTCACCGTCTACCAAGGACTGTTGGCTCTTTCACTACACCTACGAAGAAAGTGACTCGTATTGAGGCAAGATACGTCATGTTATACCCAAGAAGGACGCAATTACAATTTATTACTGAAAAAGTAATGAATCGAAAGTTTCTAGTTTGGGAGTAAGGCACGTATGAAAGCGCCGCGTGGAAAGCGGGGGTTATTAAATTTAATAAATAAAGCACCATTTAACTTTCAAGCCGTACGACAACGTCGTGATTACTCGCACTCTCAGCTTAATTAGCAGCACGAGAACAATAATTATTTTTTAGGTTTCTAGAGCACGCACAGGCTCCAGATTATCCACGTTTCATTCAGAAAATCCGATGCTATCGAGCGCAGCGAGATTCTTTTTTTGCCGGTGGATGGTCACGGAGCTATTCAAGCACGCGGTTTTTTCCGCAAATTGCTCGTGGTTTTACTCTCCGTTTTCTACTTTCGTTCACCTTGGACTTGGTTCAGTATGCGAACAAAAAAAATTCTTTTACTAATATTTTATTACGGCAACATGACTACATAATCTTTGGCACGAGCTGCATCCTAACTAATTTTGGCACATTTGTTCGAATTTGGCAAGCTGAAGAAGACTAGAATCGGGGGGTCAAGCGCGGCGGGGGACGTGGCGGGGGGGCGGGCATAGGCACTCGCCGCCGAGGGACTCCTCCACCCAGTCCAAGTAGTTGCCTATTTTTGTGTAGATGCCGGGGAGGTTGGGGCGGGCGCAGCCTCGTCCCCACGAGACGACACCTGCAAACGTCAAAAATCATTTTGATCTTTCTTCGATAGTTTTGAGAATTAAAAAATGTTTTTTATTGAAATTTCTCAATTTTTCAATTTCCCGATTTTCCATTTTTCGATAACGCAATTTTTCGATTTTCATTTTTGGGATTTTTAAATTTTTCGATTCATCAACTTTTCGATACTTTAATTTTTCGATCTGCCAGTTCTTCGATTTTTCTATTTTTAGAATTTTTGAATCATTTTAAATTTTTCAGTTGTTGTTTCAATTTCTCGATCTTTAGATTTTTCGGTTTTTCGGTTCTTCTATTTCTTTTTTTTTTATTTTTTACTTCTGGATTTTTTTTTCGATTTGTCAATTTTCCGATATTTCAATTTTTCGATAACAAATTTTTTCGATTTCCATTTTTGGGATTTTTCAATTTTTCGATTCTTCAATTTTCGATTTTTAGATTTTCAAATTTTTCAGTTTTACGATTTTTCAATTTTTCCATTCTTCAGTTTTTCGATATATCAATTTTCTACGGTTCTAAATTTTCGATTTTCAAATTCTTCTCTTCAATTTCTCGATTTTTCGATCTTTCATTTTCGGGATTTTTCAGTTGTTTCATGCCTCAATTTTTCTTCCCTTTTTCAATTTTTCGATATTTCAGTTTTGGGATACTTCAGTTTTTGATATTTTAATTTTTTTAATTTCTTACATTTTGGATTTTTCAATTTCTCGATTTCTCGTTTTTTTGATTTTTCAGTTTTTCGATTTTTCAATTTTTAGATTTTTCGATTTCTTTAAATTTAAGATTTCAAATTTAATTTTTCGATTCTGAGCTTTCTCGACTTTTCGGTTTCTCGATCTTTTGATGTTTCGATTTTTTGATGTGTTAATTTTTCAATTGCTCGAATTTTGGTTTCGGTCTTCCGATTTTTTAAAGATTAGATTTTTCATTTCTCGTTTTTTTGATTTTGCAGTTTTTATATTTTTCAATTTTTGTTTTTTTTTTACTTTTACAGTTTTCGATTTTTTCGATTCGACCATTTTTTTATTTTTTAATATTTCAATTTTCAGATTTTCCGAATGTTCCATTTTTCGACTTCTCGGTTTTTCAATGTTTAAAATTTTTCGGTTTGTCTATTTCTTGACTTTTCAATTTCTCTATTTCTTGATTTTTTGATGTTTCGAATTCTCGATGTTTCAATTTTTCGATTTTTCAAATTTTCAGTTTTTGAAATTTCAAGTTTTTAATTTTTCCCTTTTTCGATTTTAAATTTTCGATATTTCATTTTTTCTATATTTCAATTGTTGGATTTTTAAATTTTACGATTTTAAAATTATTCGATTTTTCAGGTTTTATCAATTTTTGATTTCTGGATTTATCATTTTATCGATGTTTCGATTTTCGATTTTTTTTAAATTTAAACTTTTAAAATTTTACATTTTCGTTTTTTTAGTTTTCAATTTTTCTGTTTTTCAACTTTTCGATTTCACGATCTTTTGATGTTTCGGTTTATCCATGTTTCAATTTTCTAGATTTTCGCCTTTTCAGCTTTTCGATTTTTCAATTTTTCGTTTTTTTCGATTTACCGTTTTTTTTTATTTTTTGGTTTCGAAAAACCATAAAATTAAAAAAAAATCGGATTTTCGATTTAAATTTTACGATTTTCGATTTCTCGGTTTTCCAATGTTTAAAATTTTTCGATTTCCCGATTTTCAAGTTTTCTATTTCTCAATTTTGCAACACTTTAATTTTGAGAATGTTTCCATTTCTGGATTTTTTATTTTATCGATATTTTAATTTTAGATTTTTCAGTTCTAATTCTGGATTTTTTTATTTTTTGACTTTTCGATTTAAAATTTTCGATTTTTCTACTTTCGATATTCGTTTTTTCTATACATATTTAATTTTTTTCCATATAGCGATTTTCGAATTTTTGATTTTTCGGTTTTTCGTTGTCTCGGATTTCATTTTCTTCATAGGTTTTTGGATATTTGAATGTTCAATTTGTTTTCTTTTTCTATTTTTCCATTTTTCAATTTTCCAATTCTTTGATTTTTCTAATTTTCGATTTTTCGAATTTTCGACTTTTCAAATTTCCGTTTTTTGATTTTTTAAATTTTCAATTTTTTCATGTTTCAGTCTCTGGGCTTCATTTTTTTTACTTATCGATTTTTCGATATTCCTTTTTTTTTAATTTTTTTTACTTTTCAATTTTTCAATTATCTTATTTTTCGATTTTTTGATTTCTCAAGTTTTCAATTTTAGATATGTACCTACTCGAATTTTCAATCATTCTAGTTTTCGATTTTTCAGTTTTTCAACTTTTCGATTTCTCAGATTTTCAATTCCATTCTACAGTTCTTTTTAATTTTCGATTTTTGTATTTCTAGAGTTCTCGAGTTTTCCATTTTTCAGTTTTCTATTTTGACCTTCCAGATTTTTCAGTTTGTTCGATTTTCGATTTTCAGTTTTTCCATTTACCTTTATAGAGGTAAAAACAAAAATCGCAAAATCAAATCTTATATTGGGTTTTACTTCAAAGGCCAAAAAAGTATGTCGAAAAAACCTTCGTCAATTTTTTTTTGTTTAGTTTTGATTAATTACCGATAATCTCCATATCTCCGTTGCTGTTGGTCATGTGAAGGGGGCCACCACTATCTCCCTGCAACAAACACAACATGAAACCCAAACCCAACATAAACTTCTGGGGAATTACCATGCAAGCGTCTCTTTTTCCTTCCGGATACCCAGCACAGAACATATTTTCCGAAATCTTGTTCTGTCCATATCCCGAGTTGTAGCAGTCTTCCTTAGACCACACAGGAACTGCCACCTTCCGTAAAATTCGGGACGTTTTTTCCTTCTCCCCGAGTTTACCCCATCCAGCAACCACAGCCGTTTTTCCCGCGTAATTTTCATTTCCTGTAATTTCTAACTAGAAAAACTCTCGAATTATGTAAAAAAAATCACCTGTACGAGGCAAACACGCCGTTTGCACGTTCGCGTCGAAATCCACAGGTTCATCTAGCTCCAAAATCGCAATGTCGTTGTTAAAACTGACAGCGTCGAACGCCTCATGTTCTTTTATATCCTTCAACCCTCTTACAATAACCGTCGAAAATCTGTCTTCGGAGTCTCTGTCGTGGTCAGCCAGAACCACCGTAAATTCTCTGGCGGCAAATCTGTAACGAAATTATAGCACTGTTCACTCTACTATTCTTCATTTAACTCAACCCTTTCTAACTTTTTTAAAAGTTAGAGCGAGCCAAGTTTTGAAACATTCAACGCGGCGTCAATGGCTCGAACGTGATCGTCGCCGTACCCGTTGACACAGTGCGCAGCAGTCAATAGATGCCTCCTGGTGATGAGGGTTGCTCCGCAGTAGAATTCGCCACCTTTGCCCAGTCCTGCGATCCAAGGAAACTCGTGGACTTTCGTTATGTTTCCGCCGACCACTCGCATTTGCCTGTTGCTTACTCCGCACACTGAAAACCGAACACTTTCTCAGGATTTGGTCCTTGCAATTTGGTTAATTGCTACTCGCTCGTAAAAGGAAAAAAATTAGTGAAAGCTCATTTGTGCCGCTTCATTAAAGAAGTGCGAATTATTTAAAGCACCGAGGCATGAAAGCGCCGAGTAATTGCAGACGAAGGGAATTATCGGCGCAGACTCGGCGATGATTTGCGTTTTTTATCTATGCTTTATTTGGGAGCTGATGAAAAGCAATCTCTTTAATTAAATATCAAAGGTTAAGAACGGATTGGGGAGCTGCCGTGGGTTTAATTACAAGCTTTCATTAAGACTCCTAAATTGGTAGAAGTATATCATTTTTCAATAAGTCAAAAAAAAGTCGAGTAAAAGCGAATTATTTTTGGCAAAGTCAGTAACAACAAATTTGAAACAATATGATCCATTAATTCGCTGGATGTATTTAAATCATTCTTATAAAGCTCGTTCGTTAGCAACAAAAATTCAAAATTTTAAGTTTTTGTGTTCTATAGTTATTTAGCATAATATTTTGTTAATACATATTAATGTTGTCAGTAAAATGATGCAAATCCCAACACTCAGCATGTCTATGTGTTGAATATTTGAAAAATGTAATAGATATATTTTTTTTTAATACATATAGGTATTTATATAAACTTGGGCACGAATTGGAAATTGAACCAAATTTCGCGCCAATTAATTTAGTACGAGCAAGAAGGAAAAAGAAACAGTTTGCATATGAACACGAAGATGAATCTTTAACAGATCCGAAAATTAATTTTAAGTTGAATTGGTATTTTACAGTTTTCAACCAGACAGTGTACTTTTTTTGTTTACAAATAAAATTATCCAGACAATAATTTTATCTTATTTTGTTGCGGCCCTGACTTTTAACGAATTTGGCACAAACTCTTACGACTTATTTACTCGTCGCCAGAAATTAGCACGTCGAAAGAAAGTGAAAGTGTTGATACTTTGCCAAAGCGAACTCACCACAGTCGCAGGCGTCCGCATCCCTCTCTCGCCGCTTTCCCGTCTACGAAAAAACACTTACTTTCAAAAAGACAAAATTTTGAGAACCCTACCTCGGGAGGTGCCGCCAGCGACTCCGTAACACTCAAACCTAACACCACGACGAAAGTGAATCTGAACTTCATACCGAGTGAGTAAATTACAGCGTATGTATAAAAAATCAAGCACAAACTAATTACCATCATTTTGGTATGGATTGTTTTTATACAAGTAGTGTTATGTTTCAATGTTATTTTGGAGGGGTTTTGCCTTGACCATTTTCGTTTGTATCTGATCCTACCTACTTTACTATTCAATGTCTAGGGATCCATATGCATTGAAGGTCGATGCATGTGCATGTTTGACACATTTTCGCAATGGGTCTGAGATAAGTTTCCACCTTCGTCTTGTTGATACATATTATTATAGGTTTTAAGGTTAAATTTACTCGTTACGACACCGGTCTTTATTAGCTGCTGAAGCTTCGGAAAGTAAAAACCCTACAGAAGGAAGAAGTCGCGTTTGTGATCTTGTGAGTTTACTAATTTTTACTCAACTTAAGTGGAATTAAAATTTTAAATTAATAATAACAAAAGTAGGTGTGTCGCCGCTGTACAGACAGAAAGCTAGACCAGAGCAGGTGCATTCGGTGGAAGCTTTGAGTAATACTGGGTTAGATAAAATGGTAAACACAACGGTTGTCCTTTACGCAATCCGCCATTCATTTCCGAAGAAATTCGCCATAACGAATCAAAAGCGGAATTAAATAATAAAATAGTCAGAAGGAACACAATATTTAGAAAATTATTTAACCCGAAGCTTCGCCCATGGTGGCCCACGAAGGACCTCCGCATCTGCGGCTGGATCTTCGTTCGAAACCCAGCGGCCTCTGCAGAGCTGCCAAGGTAAAGGTTGACCGAAAAATTTCAAGTTCTTCCACGAAAAATGCACACGCGTGTGGAAAATTATGGCCACCTACTTACTACCATTATCTGTAATCTGCTCTAAAAATGAAAGAAAGGTGCAATAATTCAGTGCAAGCTGCCCTACATATGGGTATTATGGTGTTATTGTTGAAAGAGGAAACTTTATCAGAGCGAAGGCCGCGTATCCCATTCAAATAAAGAACAATGCTTGGGGCTCAACTGCGCACTATTAGAAATTTTGTCACGAAATCGAGCGAGATCGGACAAAAGTTGCGTTATTGGGTTACCTGCACTAGTATTGTTTATTTATGTAAATGGGCGCAATTTAAAAAATGAGACGCAATTATTATATTGTTGGTTTTGACATTGGCAATTGATAACACCGATTTAAACAAAATTTGTTATTTATTATGTAGATTGTGACCTAAAATCTTCAACGACCATAACGCGGATTTACATAAATGCAATAATGCACTTTCAATGCAGGTTATATAATTATTGATGTGCGAAATGTCGGACGAGAGGTGAAACGGACGCGAAACCGCCGAAATTTATAAAAACTTATTTGTCGCCGAGTGAAATTATCACTTCGAAGAACATGATGCACGTGATGCTGTTTTTAAAACTGGATTCTTTACGAGTCTTCCGGTTGTTGCCATGGTACCTAGTTACCTACTTCTTCGGTACCTTCTGCATAGGTAATTTCAAGTCAGTTGAAAATCTCGGAGCGGCCGGTCTAAAACGCATCAAACTTGTTTTTTTGGCTCACAGTGTACCGAAAAAGATTAATATGTACCTCAAACTTATCAGAATTATATTGGTTGCGTCGCTAGTATCAGAATCCTGCGAAGAAACGACAGAGGCGAGGGATAAGGTAAAGATTTTTTTAAATAACTCTTTCGATACACCGAACCGTTGTAATTCGTGCAGTGTTCATTTTTAAAATGTTATTTTTGATTTTTCCCGCATTCTAACCTGGTAAGTTTAGTTGCAATGATTAATATTAAATTGATGAAAGTGGCATACTATGATTCAATTTCAAACAGTGCGTAACCTTCGATCCTGTATTATTCTTAAGATAAAATTCAGTAATTTAGTAAAAAAAACTAAGTAATATACCTATGCAAGCGGTACACGATTATAATTTATCACAGTTGCGACGAGTTTAGAAAGCTTTAATAAAGCACTCAAGATTTCGCGCTAAACTGAACATTTTGTATAAATAAAACTGGATCAATCTTTACAAGAAACGAAACAACAGTAAATCAAAGTTAATTTGTTTTTAATTGTGTCACGATTATGGGCAATCGCGAGGGAGTTTTTATTTGAACACCTTAGGTAGTTCCACCATGACGGTGTTTAAACACCGGAAAATAATTTTTGTATATTTTTCCCCCAGGAATTATTATCGTCTAACTCCTTTTTCTAATTAAAGACTGTCCACGAAAAAAATTGGCCACTTAAAACTAAGCGTTATTTTTTAATGAATAATGTTAAGCATAGTAGGCTTTGCTTAAATGACAGTTTGTTATTGTCAGTTTCTAAAAACATAACCACTATTGTGCAATTTTTTTCGTGGACAGTCTTTACCTTATCATAAACACGGTACGTTACGCGATTGAGGGATTTATTAAACAGTTCTTTAAATAGTACTTTATTGCACTCGTGAGGTTGAATTACCATTGCTTTTATATTTTCGGGCTAAAAAAAAAATGATGGTGGCGATTTTTCTGATAAGGAGACGTATATTTATCAAGCAAACAAATATGTATACTAGAATATGCTCTCCACCTTATTGAGAGTTTAAAAAGAATTTAAAATTTCAGGATGTATTGTCACAAACAGTTGCGGACTGCGTCAGTTCCAGCTCATTAAAAATCACAACGTCCCAAACAACGCCCCCGGTCTCTGGGACTCCGGACCCATCAAAACCTCCCACTCTCGTAAAAGACACAAGTACGACAACCGGAGCTCCCTTCGTTTTAAATCCGGAGCACGACGCCACTCGAGCCACTTTCATTGACTGGTTATTGGGTCTCTTGGGCTTCGGGGGTTCGCAAGGCCAATACCCGGAAGAAGTCCAACCCCCTAAAGACTGTCCTGTTTGCAGTGAGTCGTTATTCCTATTACAAACCCATCACGTTTGCGTCAAACTTTTTTAGCATGTGGATTAACTTATAAAAACAAAAGAATCGTGGGGGGTATCGAAACTTTAATTAATCAATATCCATGGATGACTGCGTTGACGTACAATAACAGATTTTACTGCGGGGCTTCTGTTATCAACAATAGGTACCTGATAACGGCGGCGCATTGTGTCAACGGGTATGTGTTATTCCGGTAATTCGACATTTTCTAAGTAAATTTTAGTTTCGCGAAGGAAAGGTTGGCAGCGGTTTTCCTGGACCACGACAGATCGAACTACTTCGAGTCTCAAGTGTTTACTCGAAGAATAAGCAAAGTCTACAGACACAGGTACTACGGCTCCGGCGGGTCCTACAACAACGACATAGCGCTGCTCAAAGTCGACAAGGAACTCAACATAACTGGGTTACTTAAACCCGTGTGTCTTCCGCCCACCGGCAAGAGTTTCACGGGTCATAAAGGTAACTTCTGGGTTTGATCTAGTTCGTATCGTGATGGGTTTTTCGCAGGCATTGCCATCGGGTGGGGAACGACCAAGCCGCATGGTCAAGTCTCGACCGTTCTGCGAGAAGTTGAGGTGCCCATTCTATCAAATATCGACTGCAGAAGAACTGGTTATGGAAATAAAATTACGGATAACATGCTGTGTGCAGGGTACTCGTATGGAATGAAGGATTCCTGTCAGGTAAACGAACGAATAACATGCTACGTTTCAGATGAATTTAGCCGTGGTTTCAGGGGGACAGTGGGGGACCGCTGCACGTTGTTAATGGCACTTCCCACTACGTTGTAGGTGAGTGTATCATAAGGCGTTTGAGAGCTTCCAGTTATTTAAATCGTTGCAAAGTTTTATTAATGTCGGTGAAGCAATTATGATGATTCAAAGAAATTGTCTATTCAGAACTCGCGCTTGAGTCGTTTTGTAATTTCACGCAAAGCAGTTGAAGGTTAAAGGTAAAACCGCAGTTTAAAATCAAGTCAGATACGATTAAAAATGGGCGTATTAGAGAGTGGTTTTTAATGTTTCATTTGGGAATGTATTGCTAGGTTGTCTTGGCAGCTATGAAAATTTAGAATATTTTACGAATGGCATCGGTTATAGATTTTGGTTAGTGTTTTACCATGTACACGACATTTTTAATATACATACTTTGACAACAATTGGTCCAGTAGTTTCTAAGATTATCTGTCTAATAAAAATCCTGACAGACGCCAGACAGAAAGCTATTTTTTCGTACTCTACGGGTCATGAAACGTCGAGAAAGCATAAAAGTACCAATCGTCCAATGGACTTTCTTAGGAAGTAAAAATTGTCAAATGTAAAAAGGTTTCTGTAAAATTAACGTAGGTATATTGTTACACGAGATTTTAATTTTTTATATCTCTGATAAGCAAATTGATAAGTATCGGCTTGATGCATAAATCATTAAAGTGATTTATTGTGTTGGTGTTAATTTAATACGCTTTCATTTATTGATTTATAATTTATACGAAAACAAATGAGGTCTCATAATATGATATCTAACATTATCTAATCATCAACGATAATCATAGCCTAATAAAATTTCTGGTCATCTTAACTATTCCTGCCATAAACAAGCAACAGAAATTCTTTCATAATTTACATAGTTATAATACGTTTTAGGTGTTGTGTCTTGGGGCGAAGGATGCGCTGAACCAAATTTTCCAGGAGTGTACACAAGAGTAAATAGATACATATCCTGGATCAAAAGCAACACCAGAGATGCCTGCTACTGCTAGCGACTAACTTGTACTAATGACGACTTGTACATACTTTTTCTATTAATTTATAATAATTTAACAACTACAAGACAAACAGCCAAAATGTTTCCATTTCACCTTTACCCTAAAAAAAAATCATGAACCCTCTGAAACCCCACTTTGTAAACTTACTTTGACTTTGACTTTTCCACGATTTTCAATTTTGTATTTCTCAGAGCACAGAAGTTTCTTCGTGTCGACCGAAATATTAATCATTCCAGGCTGAAAATTCAAATATTTGCAGTTTTGTCACAAATCATCCTACGCAGTTACCCAACTTGTTGACTGCATTCTAGACGCAGTATTCACCGTGTCTCCGAAAAAACAATACCGGGGAACTTTAATCCCAACCACTCCTGCCACAACCGGACCTGAATGGATTCCTAAAACCTAGTTTAAAAAAAATCGCCTTATAAGTAAATCCAGACCGACCAATTCGTATGTCCACCTTAGCACCATCAGAACCTTTCATTCCTCCAACTTGTCTGATCATCTCCAAAGCCAGAGTGACGATGTTTTCGACGTGATTGGTCGATCTTTCTGGGGCTCCGCTCACAGCCATGTAAATTTGACCAACGGTTTCGACCTGAAATCCCACTGTCTACACTCTACAAACGAAACCTACTATCGACACCTTATAGACGCCATATTTATCCACCAACGAATCAAAACACGAGAAAACCGTGTTCATAGTCGCCACGACTTGCATCGCCCCTTCCAAAGTGTCCGAAGACAGCCCGACCAACTCACAAAAAAGAATCGTCACAGCTTCGAAAGACTAAAACTGTTTTTATACAAACAAGAAAGTGAAAATGAGGGCGTACTTCGCAAGTGCTCAAGGGTGAATCTCCCGTTCGCAAACGATCCGCCACAGTTTTAGGAATCATGGAATATAAAAGATCGTCGCCTCTGCGCTTCCAAGTGTCTAGAAGTTCGTAACTTTTTTCCAGCTCGTCGGATCTTTGTGCCTCCTTGTCGAACATTATTTCGAGTCTTGTTGAATACAGCAAATTAAATTACTACTCAAAGTTTGCCGGCGGAAACTCACTTCGAGTTGTGTTGCCATCCTGCTAAAACCATCTCTTTACTAAGTCCGTGTTGGTTTAAATCGTTTAAGAACAACCCCTGCTCCGGAAGCTCGTCCAGGTCGTTGATTCTTAAAAGTACTTAGTTGTTTACTTGAAATCGTCAGAATGTTGGGACTTACATTGGGCTGCACAAGAAAATGATGGCGTTGATGTCGCTAATAAATTTCATTTGTCCTTTCAGGAGCACGTTTTTGAGTTCGGAAGGCGACGATCGATTGGAGTCTGGGTGTTCGCGAGAAATGAAGTTACCTGAGCCCCTGTTACACTCTAGTTCGAACATTACGGATTGCAAATTGCGCGTCTATAATAAAATGTGGCGTGAAAAAACTCAAGACACTGTTATTAAGAATTACGTTCTTCCATGAAAACGTGATGCCTTTAGGACGTCGCAACTTGAAGTAGCAACCTACTGATTTACTTAAAAAAGTTTCCTTGCTGCTCCAAATTTCGGCCAGTTTTTCACCCACGCCCATAATTTTCATGTCGGGATTGATTATAATCCCGAAAGGGAATAGTTCCAACAGGAGGGAGCACGGAAATGGAGAAAATCGTTTGATTTCGTTGAAAGACGTCCGTTTTGCCTTGTACTGCATCTTCAACAGATTGAAATGACTTGGCATAAAACTATGTTTATTTCAAACACTTACATAAGGTCGGTTGTCGAAATCCAGTCTATAAGTAACAATAACCGAACACTTTGAACCAGCCGCCGAGCTAGCCTTATCCAAGACCCTTACTTTAACCTGAAGATTATAAAAATCTTTGGCAATTTGTTGCAGCTGACCTACAAAACCTCCCTAATAAAAATTTATAACAACTGTTGCAAGATTCAAAACCCATCACGTATTGGGTGAAACCCTGCCTCCCGCTCCGGTAGACCAAAATACACCCACTGGCATCAATATCCGTCAAATAAATAGACGGACTTTTCATTTTCGGATACGTAAAACAAAACTGCGAGTGAATATTGTCCACACTTTGAAGAAAATCCGTAAAGAATCTCCCAGTAGCCTTAACAGTCACGTCATAGCTACAACATACACACACTAAATTCCCCGTTTCTGTCAACAAAGCACGAATTTACCCCAAAGTTGAAAAATACCTTACGAAGCACCTCCCGAAAAAATTCATGAAACTATCGTACGAAGCCGAAGTAACTTCGGCGCATGCCGCCGCAAGCGATGCCATGATGTTGTCCGGGTAAACTTTGTGAGTTTCAAAACAGATATATTTGCAGTTGGCTTGTTCGAGGACTCGGTACCAAATCTGCTCTCCATATTCCAGCTGAAACAAATTGTTTGAATTGATTCGTGGTGGAAGGTGGGTTACCTGAACGAAATGTTGGACACTCTCTAGTAGCATGCCGTACATATCGATTATGATTAGTTCGGAGCGGCAGAGGTGTACTGCTCTCCACCGTGTTTGATCAAGATGTGGTATCAGAATCGCTTGTTTGAAACGAATTAAGGTAAGTAAATATTAGTTCGGTTAATGGAAGTATCATGGAACGAACTAATTAAGAGACCTCTTCAAATACGAGGAACAGAGGTGCTGTTTGGCTTTCATTATGATAGAGCACGCAGGTAATTTTTGGTAGTGTTTTTGTTAATTGGAAGATGGTTATCAGGATTAAGTAGTTTGTCACAAGGAAGGGGGAAATAATAAAGACAAAAAGGTGACACATTGGTGCTTATTTTATTTTCTTTTCAAGAATAGTAACAATAAATAACCTTGCTCCGGAGTATACTTTGTAAACATGGAATTTTAAACCACACAGAACGATTGTTATCACTCCACAGCCGTCGGTTTCTCGAATATCCAAAAAGTAGCCACCTCTCCTTTCCCCTAGAAATCAAACAACTATAAAAAAGTACCGCGCTAAATATAACTACCTACCTTTAACTTAACGAGTCCTCTGTTCTGGGTCACGTACCGGTCCTTCGGCAACTTCTCCTTCGTCTGCTTGGAAACGTGCACCATTCCCGGCTAAAACCCAATCAATAAACTCTCAAACCACTAAAACTTTATCCAATATTTACCGAACTTGTGGATTGCATCCTCGACGCCGTATTGACCGTGTCACCGAAGAAACAATATCTGGGCACTTTGATACCCACGACCCCCGCAACAACAGGACCAGAATGAATTCCTACGCACTTCATAAACTATTTGTAACTCCAACTTTACACTCACCTATTCGAACATCAACTTTTGTTCCTGACGGAATCTGAAGTTGCTTGACGTGACGCATCATGCAAAGCGAAACGTCGCAGATGTTCTGTGCGTGATTCTCTGAGCTTTCGGGGGCCCCACTGACTGCCATGTACACTTGTCCCACCGTTTCGACCTTCAAAACAAAGTTTACAAAAAAAAGAGAGGGTAAAAAGTACGTACAGATCAAGATGGAAGGGTGAAAAGATGAGCATGAAATGGTGGTACCTTATACACGTGGTACTTGTCCACTAGAGAATCGAAGCACGAAAAAACGGCGTTCATGGTAGACACCAGTTCCATGATGTCTTGGACCGTGGTCGAGTTGAACCCCACCAACTCGCTAAACATGATGGTGACACAATCGAAGGACTGAAAGCTCTAATTTGAAAACGAACGATTTATTAAAGTTTGCTGATTACTTCGCAGGTGCTTAAAGGCGACTTTCCGGTTCTTAAACGGTCAGCTACCGTCATCGGTATCATGGAATACAAGAGGTCGTCCCCTCTGCGTTTCCAAGTGTCTAATAAACTGTAATTATTTTCAAGCTCCGTCGCCCTCTGTTCGGCTTTGTCGAACATTAGTCCCAATCTAATGGGTCGTAAAATTATGTTTGCGTGCGATTTGCGGGGACAATACGTACTTGGAGTTGTGTTGCCATCCAGCCAGAACCATCTCTTTGCCCAGGCCGTGTTGGTTTAAATCGTTCAAGTATAAGCTTTGGTCGGGGAGTTCATTGATGTCGTTTACCCTATTGAAATATGAGATTACAGTAACGCCATTTGCTTCCTATATTCATTAGAAACACGATCAACCGCTACATCACGGTAAAAGAAATCTGACGCTTTAGCGTGTTTGTGCACATCATTAATAACGAAAACAAAAATTGTCCTCAATTCACAAACATATTTATAAAAACAAAATAAATCGTTGCTAATTGACCTACTTTCCTCAAAAATATGAACGACAAAATTATCTTACTTACACAGGGCTGCAGAGGTAAATAACGGCGTTTATGTCATCGAGATACCGCATCTGACCCTTAAGAAGTATGTTCTTTAACCCGGGCTGACTATCCCGTCTCAAAGCATAAGGTGAAATACTTTTTCCATCTATCTCAATTTCTCTCGTGCCCGCTTTATCAGACAGGGTGTTTTCGGCGGTTAAATTACTGCCTTCCTTTTTCGGAACAAGTTCTCCCCTGAGCAACTCTATTTCAAACATTACAGATTTCAAGTTTATTATCTACAACGAAAGGTCATCTTTTATTACAGACGTATCAGTCCTTACGTTCTTCCAAGTGAAACCTATTCCTTTCGGTCTTCTCAAACGAAAGAATTTCGGAACTGATTGCTTAAGAAGCTTGTTCCCTCCACCCGCTACCTGGATTAGTCTTTCTCCACAACCTACGATTTCCAGCATCGAGTTAAATAAAATCGCGAAAGGAAACATTTCCAGTAATAGACTGCAAGAGAAAGGAGCTAATTGTCTTGTTTCTAAGTGTGCTGCAGTTTCGGCTTTCTTTGCTGATATCTGTAATAGTTTGTTTAACGATTTTCAGACGTCCAGTGTTCGAACTCACGTATTGGCTATTATCAAAATTTAACCGGAAATGTACGATGCTTATATTCCTCGTCCCGATCGTAACGTTCTCCTGGCTCAACACGCTCGTTTCCAGCTTCAGATTAAAAATATCCTCAGCAACTTCATCCAGCTGACCTAAAAGAAATTTTTATCGGTCTGGTGGAAATATCTTCAGGGACGGATTGACCCCAAAGCTAATAAATACGAAAGTTTTAATGTCAACACATTGCGTTGCTACTAAGCATGTATTTACACGGAGCTCATTCTTTACTCTAGCTTCAAGATGAAGCTTGTATTCGTAGCTTTGTACATTATAGGTCAAACCCCTAGTCCGGCCCTGACGCCTTCCAATTTTACCCATCACATAATGAGTGAATCCTTGTCTTCCGCTCCGATAAACCAAAACACATCCATTCTCGTCAACTTCTGTCAGATACATGGACGGACTCTTCATCTTGGGATAAGAAAGCGCGAACTGAATGTGGATATTATCCACATTTTCTAAGAAGTCCGTGAAATGCCGTCCTGTGGCTTTAATCGTTACGTCGTATCTAGGGTCAATAATTTAAAAGCGGCTTTCCGTCATCAATCACATACCCGTAGTTGCTGAAAAAGCGGACGAAGCATTTCCCGAAAAAATTCATGAAGCTTTCGTAGGACTGAGACGTGATTTGTGCCAATGCCGAAGCCAAACATCCCATGATGTGATCCGGATAGACTTGATGGGTGTTGAAGACCGTGTATTTGCATTCGGACAATTGGAGGGCTTTTTGCCAAATTTCGTCGCCATATTCGAGCTGTAATTGGCAGAAAGGGGAAGACAGAGGGTTTATTATGCAAGAACTGCTGGAAGTCTAATGGGGTAATTAATTCACTAAAAGCAGTGAGAAATTGACTCTATTTATATTCAAGTGGCAGTTGCTTCACGTAATTGTCTTGGGCACGTTTATTAATTAGTTTCCATTTTCGGTGAACAAGATATCATAAAGACAATTAAGACTCCGTAGTTGGTAATCGAATGAAGTTAAGGCGCACACAAAAATGGATTAGGCCAAGGCCACGAAAACAAAATATCCAGAATTTGTTGAATTTCTGCTACTTTCGATTGTGGCCAGTCTGAATGTTCGTAATAATTTCACTTACCTTAAGCTCAGTAGGTTTTTTAAAAATCTATTCTCGTTTTTTTAAATTTTAAACTAAAATATTTTCGTAACACGGCGTATTTCTACACAACTAATTATTAACAACAAATTAATTTAAAATTTGAAACTAATCGACGGATTTTTTTAGGAAAGTTTAGTTGTATCTAAGAACCCAAAAACTGTAATTACCTGGACGAAATGTTGTACACTTTCCAATAGCATGCCATACATTTTGCCGGAATTGTAATTTCAAACAGTAAACAAAATCATATATCAACTCCAGGAAAATTAAATACGCACTGTGCCACGGCTAGCAAGAGACTCCGGGAAAACGCTTCAGAGCGTGGAACGGCGGGAGAAAAGCGGAGGAAACTTCTGAGCGACAATAACAGGTGTCACATAAACCATACAGCACGACTTTTCCATTAAATCTAGATGCTACAGTCTACTTGTGTAAATGTCTTTAAATTAGTTACTCATATAATACGTAAAATTATAAATAAATAAATAAATAAGTAAAATTAAATGATTGCAGAATGTCACGGTGCCTGCGTTTATTTTTTAGTATCTAGAACTATAGTCTGCTTTGCCAATGACAATTTCTAATGTCATTTACAACCCTCAACAAATATATTCCAGAAAATGTGTTCAAAAATAATCAAGATTCCAGAAAGCACTCGCAAAATTACAGAGAAAAGCCAAGTTTCTGGAAAATCCTCATTCTCCTTTCCACGGTTATCAATTACTTCATTACAAGTTTCTCCTATGTGTTTATGCAAAACCCGATCAGTGGAAAAGTATGGTTCGTAATCATGGCGCTCGACGTAGTGTACATTCTCAATTACATCGCAACATTGACAAATTTCTTCCTACGATCACCAACAATCGAAACTCATCTGCAACTGTCGAAAAGCAAGTTCGTTTTAATAACTGATTTCTTCCTAGCTTTCCCTTACTCCTACTTTTACGAAACTGTTAGTTATAAATTCTACAAGAACACCATTTTCCTGATTTTACGAACGAACGTCCTGCTCAGATTATTCTATCTGGTGTCGTTTTTTAAAAAGCAATGGAACACGGCTGGAATGAATCAATTAAAGTGTTTCGCCGTGCAGTACACCACCTATTTCTTAATACTGGTACACACTTTGGCATGCTTCTGGTACGTAGAAGCTTTTACAGAAGACGGATCAAGCAAATGGTCAGCGAAAGATTTTCGGAAAAAATATCAGCAAACTTTTGAAAAATACGTAGTCTGTTTTTATTATGCGGTAACGAGTGTTACTAACAGACATTTTGGAGACATTTTTCCAAGGTATACAACCCAAAAAATCATTTCAGGTACATTTACCTTGATCGCGAGAAATTTTTAATAATGAGATATCTAACCATTCCACAGCCGTATTCGTTTGTGTGGGATTTATATTAACAACGGGAGTCTTCATTGCCGTACTGTCTTTCCTGGTGGAAGTCACCCACAAAAGGAGGACAAAACTAAAGATGGAACTCCAAAACATCGTGATTTTTTTAAAATCGCTGCCCACTCAAGTCAGGAGACAAAATGTTATCACAAACCACTATAAAATGCTCTGGGAGAAAAAACGTGGTGTTCAAAATTCCTCGTACTTTGAGTGCTTGCCCAATCCTTTGAAATACGAGATCTCTGTTGATACTAGGATAGGGCTGCTTCAAACTTCCACACTTTTCCAAGATAAACCCGACGCGTTCTTAAGAATGGTTTCGTATCTAGTGAAACACGAATTTTACCAACCCGGGGCACTGATTTACCATCGGAACTGTACCAAAAACAAAATGGTAGCTAGTTACTACAAATTCTTTATACATTCTTTCCAGATTTTTGTAGTAGTAGGTAGCGTCGATATTCTATCCGACGAGGACGATGAAAGTCCTGTCATCACATTCAGACATGGAACATGTTTAGGAGAGAGCTCTCTAGTTCTCACCCTTCCTTCAAAAAACTCCATCCAAGCACGTTCTTACACAGAGTTGCAAGTAAGTGAGTAGTTAGCTACTCCGAGCTTTTCATTCGATTATTTTTTTCAGGTTCTCTACCGCAAAGATTTTTTTAAACTAATAGAACAATTTCCGCAAGTGATTTCCGATATTCGCAACTTAATAACACACCGTGTTACGCAAACCCATGTCGACGAAACTACTCCAGGAGGAAAAATTTACCTGACACCTTTCTTTCCAGAACGAAACGCAACAGCCACGAAAGAGTTGAAAGAAAACTTTGAAGAAAATTTTCGACATGCGAAACAACCAAATCAGTTTTTATTTTTGTATCAGTTGGAAAGATCCTTCCACTTAAGAGACGCTCTATGTCTTACACAAAACTTTCCTTGGATTCTTAATCCCACTGGTTCTTTTACACAACACTGGGAACTTTTCACTGTTGCTGTGACTCTCTACACGAGTGTCACATATCCATACTATATCGTTTTTGTAAAAGACTATCCCAACTGGTTCACACTGTCTCTAAATTTTGTCGACTTCTTTTGGATACTTGATTTGATCATACTTTTGACTACTGCTATCGAAGAAAGTGACAAAATGGTCACGACTTTCATGGAGATTTCCCAGAAACGTGTAATGCAGCTTGGGTTTTATTTAGACTTCGTGAGCTGCGTCAGAATAGAACTATTCTACTGGATTTGGACGAAGAACTCGAGGTTCGGTGAGGTTTTAAGGCTTAATCGACTGTTGAAAATATACAGAATACCTAAACTCCTACTCAAGATTGAAAACAAAATTGAAGTTAACTCGTACGTTTTGTACGTCATCAAATACATCTTCTACATTATCATCTTCGGGTATTTGTTTGGTGCCTTTCTTTACGTTGTAACTTGTTTTGAAAAGGCATGTACGGACGACGGTTGGTTTTTCAGAAAATTGCTCGACAACATAGGACAAGAAGTTGCAGTCACTTACACTTCTCACGAAGTCCTCACTTCAATGTATTTCGCCTTATCGTGCATAACCGGGCTTACACCAGGTGATATTTTGCCCTCGAACATCACGGACATGATCACCTCCAGCTTTGTCATGATTTGTGGTAAATTCACACTATTTCAAAATCAAACCCCAGCGTTTTTTTCAGGAATATTTACTTTCGGTTGTTGCGTATCCCAATCGTCGGCTTTGCTCACCCGCAAACTGAAAGTCCGCACAGATTTCCAAGACATTCTATACTCAATCGTGAAGTTCATGAAGAGGAGAAACATGGGGAGCGATATGATACGACGAGTTAAAAACTACTTGGTACTCCAGTGGCATTACGATAGAGCGTCAATACTCAAACAACCACTGCTTTTTAATCTCGACAAAAATTCCCAGACGAGGATCCACATGGACGAAAAAATGAACACCATAACAGGTGTGTCTTTGTTTCGGGACCAGAGATTAGATTTTCTGTTGTCGCTAGCAATCAATGCACAAACTTTGGTTCTACCGCCCAACGAATTCGTTACTTACAAAGGCGAAGTGTTGAAGATTTTGTACATTATCGAGGAGGGTTACTGCATTCGACAATTCGGTACGAGTAAGTACTGTGACGACGAGTACTAAATTTTTGTTTCAGAAAAAAGTTACGTGGTACTAAGACCTATGTCATTCTTTGGAACCATGTGTCTTTTCTCCAAAGTTAACTCTCTCTGTACCGTAAAAACGTTAACTCACGTCAAAATACTTTGCATCACTGAAGAAACTTTCTGGAGATCAGCGTCGATCTACCCGACTGTGTTTACCCAATTTAAAATCGCTTCTAACACTTTCGACATACTGACAGAGTTTAAGAAAATCCCCATCCATCCGACTTTGGACAACACCGAAATCGAAAAAAATTCTTTAGTTCCTCCAGGTAAGTGTACAACAAAGTGGTTTAAATGTTTATTAACTGCGACAGGTTCTTTTATTAATGTAATTTCGTACTGCAAAAGACTCGACGAAAACTACAGCGCACCTTTCCGGGATTTGGGAATTCTGTGCTGGATACAAATGTTGATGTTACCCATATGTATTCTTCCCTATGGTTCGCTGCTGAAATTGTGGATGACCATGCGACTGCTGGTCGCAATCTTCATAACAGTTCTCACTCCATGCCAGATAATCCAAGCACCATATACATCTATGATTGATTCTATTATTTTTGTAGCAGATGTGGTTTCGTACGTAGATCTCTACGTGATGCTCTTTGTCGGTTATTACGGAGACAAAAATCAGTTAATTACGCATCCATTAAAAACGGCAGCGTATTCTTTGAAAGGTCGTTTTCTGCCGAACTTTGTCCTGTGTTTCCCATGGGAACTGCTGCTGCCTTATTTTCTCGATGACCCAAACGAGAAACCATTAAGTCATAATTTACTCAACAACGCACATAACTTTGTAAGAATAATCAAAATGGGCCAAATTTACAGACTGGTACAATTTTTCAGCTACGTTTCGTCTACAAAAAGAAAGATCAATGTAAGCGGAACAAAGTCGTGAGAATAGTTTCTTCACAACTTTTGTAGAGTAATATCCTGCAAGTACTAAAGTACCTTCCGATGATAATGGTCTTTGTGCACTTCTGGGCTACAATTTTGGTGGCTAGTAATTGCAGGTACTACAGTCAAAGCGATTTATCTAGGTTTGCTTACAACATAAATTTTGTCAAACCTGATGGCCTGGCACACCATGTTCAAAAACCCATGGCTATGTACTGTAACGAAGATTCATGGTTTGACAGGTAAATTAGCACTAAACAAAAGCTTGCTTCTGACGCACTAATTGCAGATCAAAATTTCGCAACTTTACCGAACCATATCAGGTGTATATTTTAGCGGTTTATTATTGCACAGGACTTCTGACTTTGTGTGGACTAGGAGACGTCACCCCTCAGTACCCCAACTCACTAATAATAACAATAGGGGCAATAATGTGCGGTTTTTTTTTCATTGGGTACGTGCTACCTTCTACCTCCAATTAATAACCTTTCCTCCTAGCTATATATATGCAAAAATTTCGAGTCATAAGGCACACTGGTACAATTTGTTATTCAAAAACCAAGAAACGGTGGCTGAGTTACACAAATTCATGATGGAAGAACAAGTACAGGACAAACTTCAACACCAAGTAATAGAACGCTTCGAATACAGGTGGAAGCGTTGCAAAGGTGTCGAACCAAACAAAATTTTGACCAAACTGCATCCACTCCTTTATCAAGACATCGTTTATTCAATGTTCGAAAACACTCTAGTCAACGTTCCGATTTTCGAAAATGTTGACAAAGTTTTTCTTAGAGTTTTTGGAAGGATTATTAAGGAAAGGTACTACTTGAGACAAGAGACGATCTACAAGACCGACGATGTTATTTCCGATTTATGCATAATCGAAAGAGGAGTCGTAAGAAGTCCAACTTTCTTGGACGCATTTGATAGTTTCGTTTAAGGTGAGAGTAGTTTCAAAATCTCGAACCATAGAAGCCCTTATTGAAAGCGGAGGAATTTTTGGTAACCTTACTCCGACAGCAAAACATAAACTATCCATCACTGTAACGGCTCTGAGTAACGTGGATCTTTTAGTCATGGACTCTCAGACTTTCTACGCCGCTTTAGAAGTACGCTGTCTAAAATGTATCTTGTAAGTTTGACAAAACGTTTCAGAAATACCCTTCCATCAAGGAAATCGTCGAAAGCAATTTTACCAAACGAACCGATTTTATCATACCAACATTTAGAACCGCTGAAGATATTGCACTGGAAGAGAAAGCTTACGTAGTGATATCTTGACACTTATTGTTCTTGTTTTTGTTTAATTTTATTTTCAGCCGGAAACGAGAAGAAGCGTGCACACTTTTAAAAGCCTTGCAGACCTTCATTCAAACCTTGAAGGTTTCTTGATCCTTTGTCTACCTTGGAAACTATTTCAAATCGCGATTCCACAATATTCAGTCCTCTTCAAAATTTTTGGTTTGTACACACAAATCTACTCTTCACCTAGGTGAAAATTATATCATTATAGATGTTTACTTCCTCGTGGTAACTTACTTGTGCTCTCTGTTCACCACATACGAATTTGCTTTCCAAGATCACGCGTTCTACCTCTTGTGTTTCGCCTTTTATGCAGATACCACTTTCATCGTAAAAATAATTTTAGAAATGCACAAAACGTACGAAAATCGATATGGAGAGATGGTGGTATCCAACAAAAAGATTGTGTCCCAGTAATCTATTCCAACAACGTCGTTCAAACGTAACTATTGCTTTCTAGTTACTTCCACAAGCGCCGTCTGAGAAGAAGTGCAGATTTTTTTGTCAACTTTCCATTTTATTATTTTGTTTTTATCTTTGGTGTATTCGTAGAGTTTGACACGCGCTTAGTTTTCTCGAGCCTAAGACTAGTTGTAGTTTTAAGACTGGCGTATTTTTTTGATTACTACAGAGAAAAATCGGACGCATTGATGAGCAACAGATTTCTGTTAAAGATATGGTACGTCGTTACAAAATTCAGTGATAGATTGACGTTTCACAATATTGTAGTACGACTTTTGTCTGGGGAACACTCACTATTCACTTTTTTGCGTGCGGTTGGTACTTATGTGCGTGTCCGTTAGTTTCTTGCTTGGAAAATTCGTGGGTAAAGCAGTGGTATGAAAGCACAGACATTCACGACTTGGTGAGTACATTAATGACATGTGTTAAAAGGAAAATATACTTCAGGTCGTCATCGCTTTACTGTATTTTTCAGAAAAACGTAGACAAGTACATCACTTGTATTTACTTCGTGACGATATTATTGACTAAAACCGGAACGGGTGATATTTTCGCCCTAAACATACACGAACAGATATACATCTCAATAACGATGATTAGTGCGATTTTTCTAACCGGAATTTTTATTGGAGAAATATGGAATTTTCTTAATTCGACAACTGTAGGACGTGTTAAATATGATTACAGAATTAACGAACTGAAACAATTCGTCAAAAACAACAAAATAAGCAAATTTCAGTTGAAAAAGTTATGGAGGTATGTAAAGCAGTTGTGGTTTGTTAGCAGTGGACACCAAGTAAGATAACAAAGTGCATATAAAATTAGTTACATTTAGTAATTTCTAGATTCCTCACGGAATTGCGCATTTACATTCGGCCACAGTGCGAGAATTAATGGCGGACGCCTATGTGCACCATCTGAAAAACTCCTACATCTTTTCTGACGTAGAAGAGCCTTTTCGTATTCAAGTGTGCCAATATTTTAAACGACAGATTTTTTTTCCCGGTAATTACATTGTTCAACATGGCGATTTCGACAATACAATGTATTTTATACATTCCGGAGAGGTAAGAAAGTTGTAACTGACACTAACCAAGTAAATTTTTCGAATGTTCAGGTTGATATTCTAAGTGTTTACTCCAATCTGACAGAAAGTATACACGAAACTTTACAAAGTGGAGATATGTTTGGAGCAATACAAGGTTTATATCACAATGTTGCACATCATTTTTCGTTTAGAGCACGCACGACCGTACACGTATTAGGTTTGCGGCTAAACGATTGGCAACACTTGTTAGATTTTTTCCCAGAAAGCAAAGAGTCTATTTTTACAAAAACCAATAAAGTTAATGTGTAGCAAAAAAACTGTAATCTCTTTTTTGACGAAAATATATATTTTTTATTTTTTAATGAACACGAGGCATCAGATTGAAGCAGTGGTGAAGTTTTTGTAATTATTTAAAAAAACGAATTGCAAATTTTGTAAAAAGAAATAAATAAAATCAAAATATCTTACGCCTGTACTTTTCCCCAAAGCGACACCACTGTCACAAGATCTTGACGACAGATTTTATGACTATAACGAAAGCGCACATTCGAAAAACCAATAGAAACATTAAACATGTGTCCACATGACACAATAGTCCATGATTATTGGTTGTTCCAATGACAAGTTTCTGTGTAAATCCTGAACCCCACAACGCGCATCTTGTCAATTGTCATTTGCACAATGCTGGAATTAACCTCACTTTCATAATTTTCAATAAAAGCAATTTTTAACGTATTTAGCAATGACTTCAACGGGAGTCTTCAGATTACTAACAGTTTGCAGGCAACAAACACTAAAATTTCAGCCCAACTTTCCAAAATGCAATTATGCTAAAAAGGACACTGGAAGTAATTTACAACTTCAACTATAAAAACTGTCGCTAAACTGTCCTTTTTAGGTGTTAGTATGATAGGAGGAGCTTTAAAAAAGAAAAAACTAGGTAAAATCGGCCCCGTTGTAGAAAAAAAAGTATTGCCTGTGGAGACAGATCCTGAAAAATTAGTCAAGTTTGTATGTGGTTCCAACATTTATACAACAGGTCAAGATGTTGAAATAAAACCAGATAGTGAATATCCGGAGTGGTTGTGGAAGGTGCGAACGGGACCCCCTCCGCCACTAGAAGAACTCGATCCAGAATCAAAGCGTTATTGGCAAAGAATAAAAAAGACGGCTTTAAAAAGATATAATAAATTAGACCAACTTAAAAGGTTTTAATGTTTAATGTGCACATATTGTTAGGTAAAAGTAATAAATTTTTCTAATTGAAAAGGTGTTTTCAGTGACGTCTTTCTGACATAATCAAACACAATAAAATGGCCTTGTGTGGATTCTAATTTTTCACCTATAATTTTATAGTCTAGTTGTAAATCAGCAGTCCTTTTTACATTTTCAGACTGATAACGTGAAAAAATAACCAATATGTTTAAATTTTTTACCACACTTTGTAACAACTGAAGATTTTGTTTGGCGCATTGATCTAAACTTAACATCGGAACAGTCTGTCTCGCTATCCAAAACTGTGAAGTGATATCATCAATAACGAGAAGATTGACGTTCTCTCGATCCTGTATTATCCTCTCTAAGTTTCTCAAAGTAATCTCAGTTTGGTCATTGCTATAACAATGAAGTAAAGTAATATTGTTTAAAGCTTTCTCAATTATTGGTTTTCTGTTTTCAATATTTAAATGTTTGAGCTGAGCGTCAATCACGGTTGTTATTTTCAAAATACTTATGTGATGAGTTGTATTAACAAACACTACTCCAGAGCCTCTCCAGTTCTCATTGATTTCTTTAGGCAATATACAGCGAATCATGAAATCGAGCAATAAATCCTTATTAAAGTCACCCGCCACTTCAATAATCTCGTTAGGGGAAGGCGCGCCTTTTGGAAATAATTTTGGATTTATATCAGTAAGAGAAAAATTTCTGGAGGAGTGTTTTATTCTTGAAAATAGTTGAACACCTGACTCAATCACCTGTGGCTGCATTTTCTGCAAACAAACTAAATGAAATATACAAAATATCTTTTTAGAAACTTACTCTTCCGAACAATGGCCTAACATTGCCTTGTAAAGCTGATAAAAATAAAAATTATTTTGGAAAATTGACTGTCGAATTTACAACTCTAGTGAGTTTTTATAGTTTTTGAGATACACGTTAAATACATTTTATTCCAATATAATAAATAGGTAAAACTTTGTGAACATCAACGCAACCGAATTTTTCGGTTATTTACGAATTACGAAAACAGTTTCAACAAAGCAGTTTTCTGCAACCAGAAATACACCGGTGTCGACGGGATGTAGTATTCTAGTATTTTTTGTATAACTAGCGGTGCCAACGTAATTTTTAGTGATTTACACTGTCAAAAGTGTCAAATGTCGCAAAACGTAAGCTGTCGTTTGAGAGCGTTGTTATTACGGGGTTTGTCTTGTTAAAAGTTAAATTTATTTAAGAATATAAATTTGTAACAAAAAGTGAAAATGCCAGCATTAGAAGTGGCAACCACTACACCAGAAGAACCAGGTCCTATAAATCCAGTGGTGGGTATTATTTATCCACCACCAGAGGTGAGGAGTATCCTTCTAAGCAGACAAGTTTAATAATTTTTCAGAATTTCGTACAAACGGGCAAAAACATTTCAAACATGTATTTTCCTGACAGTTTGTTAAGATATTGTCGATAAAACAGCAAGTTTCGTTGCGAGAAATGGGCCGGAATTCGAGGCCCGAATCAGACAAAATGAGTTAGGAAATCCCAAATTTAATTTCTTGAATCCTGGAGATCCATATCATGCTTACTACCAACACAAAGTTAATGATTTTAGAGAGGGCAAGGGTAAGTCCGCACTAGTGTGTACAGAGTTTTAATGCAGAGCTGGAAGGCGTGAATGATGAACTTTAGCCATATATTAGTGTTCGGCTTAGGCCTTGAGCGCTATGACAAAAACAAATTTTCGAGAGCGACTATTCTGATGCTTAGTCCAGCCATATGTATGATTTTTCAGAGTCAAAATGTAAGCCATATCTAAAAGAAAATAATTGGTTCAGACGGAATTGCCATTATTTAGTTTCTTTTTTATTTTAATATCTCAATATTATCAATTATGATGATACTCTATTGGGGGGACATTATGAATAATTGGGATATTTTTAGGGCAAGAACCCACTTCTACTCTACCAGCAGCCATATCAAAACTCACAGTCACAGCTGCCGCCCAACAGAAACAACAAGAAATTCTTAAACAAGTGGAACAACCTTTCGTTCCCAAAGATCCTCCAAGCGAATTTGAATTTATAGCAGATCCACCATCAATCTCAGCCCTAGATTTGTAATACTATAATATTAGCTTTTAATAACTTATTCAATGTGTATTTTCAGGGACATTGTAAAATTAACGGCACAATTTGTAGCGCGTAACGGACGACAGTTCCTCACACAACTAATGAACAGAGAGCAGCGCAATTTCCAGTTTGACTTTTTAAGACCTCAACATTCCCTGTTTCAATATTTTACCAAGCTTTTGGAGCAGTACACAAAGGTACTTTGAGGTCAAAGTACAGATAATTGGATAATATCAGAATGGTTTTAGGTGTTGATTCCTCCAAAAAGTATGCAACAGCGCCTCCGTGACGAGGCCAAAAGCGCAAAGTCCGTCTTGGAACAAGTTAAATACAGAGCAGAATGGTTGCGCTACCAGGAACAACAAAAGGCGAAACAGGAAGAAATTTTAGAACGGGAAAGAGGTTGAGCGCAATATTTTATTAACAATTTTGTTTATTTTGTTTTATTTCAGTGGCGTATGCGCAGATTGACTGGCACGACTTTGTGGTGGTTGAAACGGTAGATTATCAACCCTTCGAAATCGGAAATTTTCCGCCACCTACCACTCCTGAAGAAGTAGGCGCTCGTCTTCTTATCCAAGAACGTTTTGAAGAAGGAGAAGATATAGAAATGCAGCTTGAGAGCGACGATGAAGAACAAACTCCAGCAGCTGTATGTATAATAAGTTTGCTCAAAACGTGTACATATTGTTCAAATTCTAGGATGAAGGACTCAGTACGATGCAGGATCGAACCGGCCAACGCAAAGACGATAACCGCGTTCAAGATATGGAGGAAGAAAGTTCTGATGAAGATGGAGGTGATGACAAACAATCAAATCAACCTGCGATTCAACCTCCGCTGCCGCCAGTACCTGACAAGGTCGTGGTCAAGAAATACGATCCAAAACAAGGTGGTTTTGCGGTTTTTGGATTTTATTGTTTTCATTGATAAATTTGCAGCTGTCAAGGTTACTCGACCTACCGTCGGCGACGACTACCTCATTTCGCCCATAACCGGTGAAAAAATACCGGCGAGTAAAGTACAAGAGCACATGAGAATCGGATTGTTGGATCCACGTTGGGTGGAACAAAGAGATAAACAAGTTTCTGATAAAATGAACCAGGATTCGGTTTACGCCGCCGGTATTACTATAATTATGGGTGTTGTCGTTCCGTAAATGTCGATTTTTAGGTTCTGCAATTGATGCCAGTCTGAAACTGTTGGCGGAACGTCGTACCGACATTTTCGGCGTGGGTGATGAAGAAACTGCCATTGGTAAAAAGATAGGCGAGGAAGACGTGAGGAAAGATGAGAAAGTCACGTGGGATGGACACACGTCGAGCGTCGAAGCAGCTACGAGAGCGGCACGGGCTAATATTACGTTGGAGGAACAGATTCATCAAATTCACAAAGTACGGTGCCAAGACTCCATCCATTATTTTTATTGTTTTGCGTGTGTTTAGGTAAAAGGGTTACTCCCGGATGAAGAAAAAGAGAAAATTGGACCTAAAAATGTGGTTGGAAGCGGTAAGGGTCAGAGTAAAGTCACAGGGGCGGCTATTATTTCAGCTAAACCACAGGCAAATCCGAATCCAACGGTAAGAAAAAAATATACAAACATAGTTTTTATAATTTTTGTGATATTTGTAGCCCAAAACGACTCCAGTATCGTCAGTGATGCCTTCACAAACTCAAACAATCACTCTCTCAGTTACACAACAGCCCACGATGTTGGCACCCCAAGCCTCGATTATGATGATGCCAGCGCCACCTATGGCACCCATGCGCCCGCCTCCACTCATGAGTATGATATTCGCAATTTTACTTACAATTTACTCTAAATTTAAACTTTTTGCAGTGGCGGCCCCTCCACCGATGGCTGGCTTCGTCACACCCATGCCTCCCCAGATGGGTCCGCCGATGGGCATGCCCGTTAAACATCCCAGTGAAGGGCAAATGGAGGACGAGCCGTCTAACAAAAAAATGAGGAACGAAGATTCTCTTATTCCGGAAGAAGTGTTTCTATCTAGGAATCCGGTAAAACGATCAAATTTGATTTAAGTAATTTTGACTTGTTGTTTTATGTGTGTGTGTAGAATCCAGTGGCGATCAAGATTGCTATTCCGTTAATACCAGAGAAGACGGAATGGAAATTGACAGGGCAGATGCTGAGTTTGAACGTACCTCTTTCAGAGAGTGTGTCGTCAATTAAGGCGAAAATACAAGAAGAGACAAATATGGCGCCTGCTAAACAAAAGTTGTTCTATGACGTAAGTCTGTCATTGAAACTTATTGCATTCATTGCATTCTTGTAATCGTTTCAGGGTATGTTTTTCAAAGATTCAAACACTCTTGCATATTACAACATTATCACCGGAGCCGTCATACAACTACAAGTGAAGGAGAGAGGTGGACGGAAGAAGTAATTTATTTTCTAAGAATTGTAAGTAGATAAGTAGCGAAACCTTGTATTAAAATTTACTATAGTTCAACAATTGTATTGATAAATAACATATTTTAACAAAATGTCAACAATAAAATAAATATGGAATCAGCTAGATTTTTTTTTCCCCGAGAATCGAAAGTCGGGCAGGCAAGTTAAAATTTTTAGGCCGGTTCTACGTACGGGGAGCAATACGTTAAAATTTGTTTTGAGCGTTCAAAACCTATTTAATAAGGGAAGATACAATTTTTCTGTAACGCTCTACCATTGGTTCGTAGATCTCTGCAGCGTCCGCATAGGGCTCACAAATCAGACGTGGGGGTGGAAGACACGACGTAACCTCCACGTAATTGCTGTGCTTTCCTAAAAGACCGTGTTTAGCTTGATATGCTGCCCCCAACATGGCGGATTTTGATTCCTCCTTGAAACAAAAACTTCATATTTGAAGGAGTTTTGCGTATCACATACCTGAAGGTACACAGGGGCGTTAAAAACATCGGACAGAACCTGGAGAATTGCTTTGTTTGCGGAAGCACCCCCTGTTGCTAAAATTTTTGTATCTTTTCCTGGAAATTACGACAACTTAGAAAATAGTACTCGTTGACTTTTTAACTCAAATAACTTTTACAAATGTTTAATTTACCTAAAGTAAATCCGATGTCTTCAGCGTATGCCCTTTTGGCAATAAACTGCCCTTCAATGAGCGCTCTCACTTCGACTTCTAGACTGGTGAATTTGGCCACACGATCACCGGCTTTGTTAAACCTGTAGTCGCCAGATAAAAATGGAAGAATTTCTTGAACGTCGTAGTACAAACCTACAAACGACAATTAAATTGGTATTTCAAAGGGGTAAAATTTACCCATATTCCCGAAATTTCCTCTAGGGGTACTATCCAGCAGCTGGTTAAAGATATCCCAACTGGATTCCGCACAAGAATCCCTTACTCTTTCTCGAGTTAAAGAACCATTTTTAAAACTAAAATATTATGTACGTATTATAAATATTGAAAGTCGAAAAAGTAGGTACCATAACATGGCCATGTACGCTTCTGGATCGACAGGGTTACACAAAATGTGCCCATCCGGTACAATTTTGGGTTCTTTCAACCACAAAAAAACCGTGTCGCTGGTGCCCAAACTAACCGCCAACCACCCTTCGTTAAGTCTCATGCCTTAAAACCCACATTTAGTCAGTATGCTGAAACATTTTCAAAAAATTACCAACAAGAGAAGACGGATTATCGCCAGTACATGCAATGATGCGGCAACTAGGGTCAAAACTGTATCTTTCAACAAAATATGACGAAATGGGACCCACGTCGGTACTGGACGGAACAACGGAACCCAATTTTTCGTCTAAATTGTCACCAACGACTTCCAGAAGCTGCGAATTCCACTGTTTGGTTCGTATGTCCATCAAATTCATGCCAGAACCATCTGATATATCAATAGGAGCGATTTTACCCAAGAACAAGGAACACAAGAAACTACTAACTAAAGAGATCCGCTGAAAACAAAAAGTCACAGTATTTAATAAACGGCTAACGAAGTTGTCGCACCTCTGAGTTTTTGTAAGCTTCAGGCTTTGCCTGCGCTATTTTAGCAATCTGTGACCCCGTAAACCTTTCGTAGCCTCTGGAACCCGTAATTTCCGCCAATTTCTAAAACAACGCAAAATTAGCTTCAGCAAAAACTTCTCTTGTTCGTACCAAAGCTCCTCCAACTGCCTCTTCCAGCTGCCGACACTGCACCGTAGTGCTAGCATCCATCCAGACCGGACTATTATTAACAGTAAAACTCGAGGCTAGTTGCTGGTGAAGAAACTGGCCCGGATCCAAGCTTGCTAGTATTTTTTCTGAACCTTTTTGCCAGAAGACGGAGCCGTGTTGTTGCGCAGAACCGGAAACGGCAGCAGTTTTTGAAAAATCTACCCCAGACACCGTGAGCTTATCCATGAGCATATCCAGAGCCTTGACCCACATGACCGTCGGCGCCGTGATAACGTTTGGATTGGTTTTGGAAAGCAAAACGCCACCATGGGTGCGAAATTCGGGGAGGTCGCTGTCGAACATGACGGACGCTTCGTGGATTATTTGGAGGTTGTTGTCCACCACAGCAGCTTTCAGCTGGAGAAAACCACAAGAAGATAGCCATCAAAACCAAAACAAACAAAAAAGTTGCTAAAAATTTAATTTTTCTCGACCATGTGCATCTGAGAACAACAATAACAATGGCAACTTTGATTAGCCGCCGTGTATGTTGTAAAGATTGCGGTGTTTGACGTAATCGTTACCCTCAATAAATTAATTCGCCTCTTATCAAACCCAAACCCTGATAAGCCGCCGCAACGTTTCCTCCAAGGCCGCATATTCCCCATTTCCCTCCCATTGTCCCATTACGTAACCCTCGCCACTCCGTTCACCATCAACAGGTGGCATTCAATCCGTCCCATCGCCTGCTTACACCTTTCCGAAAAACCCAGCAAGCATGCGCCCGTCTTCCCATATCATCGATTGCTGACCACGCGGCAACAATTACCGCTCTTTGTATGGAAGTTGGTTTATTTTTTATTTACGTTTTGAACAGTTCGGTAAGTCCACTCACCTGCTGGGTGCTCAGGTCCAGACCCAAGAAAGTCCGTTCCGACTCGGCCACCATCACTTACTCCACTTTTGCGCTTTTACCGCTGCAGCAAGTACTAACACTGTATCGAATCCGTGACACCGGCTTGACTTCGAGGTCAAGGCACCACGCGATTATTACATTATGTTTTCTCGCGGTGAATCACTTGACATGGTCGTGGAAAGGTGGAATGGGGTACGATGGGCTGTAATTGCATTTTTATCTTATCGGTTAATCCGTTTATTTTGTATGTAATTTGAGTTTGTACGGATTTCTGTTGTCTGCCGGTGAGTGAGGAAGGATCAAACCGCGACAGGGGGCGGTGGGGAAAATTTGACTTGAGTTGTTGAGGAATAATGAAGATTCGAGAAATCGTTTTTTACCAAGTTGAATGGTTTGAAGCGCGCGAAAATTGTCCAAAATTTTCGGTATGAAATGTAGACTAGAAAAAAATGACCGAGAGAAATGCTATAAGAAGTGGTGTAGTAGCACGAAACTTAATAGTTCTGAATTTTTTTGGTACTGCAAATACGCACAAAAGATAATTTTTTGAATAGATTTCAAACAGAACAGTCTACACCATTCTCTTCCTTCTTCGTTGATTTTTTTCTAGTCCTAAAGTTGATAGTTTCCGCGATTTTTTATTTTTGCAGACACAGCAAAATATCAAAAGAAAGAATAAAAACAGAGCAAGATGAAACAGTAAAATACCCGATGTTCTATTTAAAAACTGAGACTTGAGTATTTGAAAATTATTGATTAGATTTTTTTTAAACACGGTATGCTGATGAGACAACTTCCTTGATATTACCAAAACTACCAAAAGCATGGACCTTAATAAAATGTTGCACTGCGGAAGTTAAAAACAATCATCTTAATGTTTTTGGGCAATCTGTGTACTGCAAAAAGAAATGAAGAAAATTGGTATAACTTAGCAACGTTACATCGAAATTAAAAAAAAAATATATTTATCTAGGATCATTTTAATGTTATCGTTGGTTGCATAACCATTAAATTTGTAAACAACCTAAACAGTTATAGCTCTCTTCTCTCTTGGTGTCTGATTCAACTTACACTTTCCCAAAAAACTTTATCAAAAATTGTATAACACTGCCGAGGTTCATAAGCTACGTAATATAATCTGTAACTAACATTTTTCAAGACAGATTTCAAATGGTAATTATTTATCTTCATCTAACATATTCACATGTTTAGGTAACTGATGGTTTGTTTGGTCTGTCGCGATTAGAATTTTAAGACACTATTTGATACTGTATTAAAAAAATAACTGGGACATTGTCTATTATTCTTAAGGGAATAATTCCATTTTTGGCCTTTTGTCAAACTGAGGGTGCCCAAAAAATTGAAATGACACATTCCTGACGAGATATATATTAGGCTAAATATTTTGACTGTATTATATTATAACAAATAACTACTTTTAATTAATAAGTTTATTTACTGGATTCCCAGTTTGTAGATTTATCCAAATTGGTTTAATCAGGACGCTAACCAAGCGCGTTCCAGACTTTGATAATAATGGCTATTTCCGAAAGCTATCATATTGAGAGAATGTTCAGATTAAGACGGATAGATATAATTGTAATTTTAATACAATAAAAACTAATTTTAAAAAACGACGACGTATTGAATGCGTTTTCGATCTTCGTTAGGAAACTGTTCCGTAAAACGACAATTTTTACGTCATTTATTACTCATGTTTAAATTGGAAATTGCCGATTTTCGTTAAACTTGTTCAAACCAGTATAATCCAATTTAAATTTAATTGCATTTTTACTGTTCTAATATAAATCAGATTTGTCCGGCTATTTGTTCCATTTGTCACATTAAATTAATCTCGTTCAGCCTTTATCACTCAAGTTGGAATATTCAGATTTTTGCTCCAATAAATAACTGGAAAAATACCAATAAACCCTATTAACTCAATTTAGTCGAATGACAATTTGATTTAAAAAGCAAAACTGTACTGTACTTAAAAATTATACCAATCTTACCAACATTTTTTTCATTTAAATTGTTTTTAAAATATACTTACCCCGAATAAAACAACATTTTCGAAATAGGAACAACGCAACAAAGACACGAATGTTTCGCCAAAAAATCATTGCGATGTTTAAATACGGTTGTTTAAACTGTTAAGTATGCAACACAATTTACGCGTTGTCGCCATCGACACAATTTTAAATTATCCAGTTATTAGTCATTCGGACTGAAAAACCTAATTTATGAACCTTCTATTTTCCATTTCCCACCCTGCTTTCCATTCCGCGTTTGCTAAATCGCCGTTACCCCGGCCCCACCCCTCCGCTTGTTTAACGTCCAAACTAATGACTTGTACCGACTCGTCGGCAAAACGAAAACATCCCAACATAACTTTGTTAAAAATCGGTCCGTAACAGGAAGTTGCTTAGAGACATCGGCACAATCAGTAAATAAATGATGGTCGGTCGTTTTATAAACATGAGCAAAATAAAATGACGCCAGTTCTTAGGACTTCTGGCGTCCAGGGCGTCTCGGCGGCGGCCCCAGGCGGCGTCTTCCAGCTATGACTTTTTGTCAAATTAATAAAAATGCACCGGCAGTTGGTGTAATGTTTGCTTCTTCCGGAATCGTTTCTACACCGAGTTATTGCTCATATTCGACGTGATTTGTTCGGCGGGCGGTGCCAGCATTGTTCGCTTTTGAAAAATTGATATGCCTAATGCTATGATACTATAAAGAGTTTAAAGTTGGAAAGTGGCAAATTGGGAAGTTATTGACTGGAATGTGGTCGTTTCGGGAATATTTTTCTAGCGGGAGTAGTCACAGCGTCTACATTCGGTGATGAAGTATATTATAAGCCGTAAATTTGACACAATAACAAGCAATATGTATTACGTTTAAGTACAAGGTATAGCTAAATGAAGCAATTAAGAAAGGAAGAATTAAATTTTTACAATTGTTATATTAAACAAAAAGTATTAAAAACAAAAGTTTTTTTCTAAGAATCTCCGATTTTGTAAATCCTTTTTATGACTAATTACAAGATCTCGGAAAGTCTCTCGGCCGAGGATCCCCCTCGGCCCAATAATCCAATTTTTGTCAATCAATAACCAGTTAAACGTCGGCGTCCTCCAAAACGACCTCATTCCAAAAAACAAACGTCGTTATTTGGCACGCCAATAAGTCCCATCTTAATGCGCCCATTATTTAGGCTGTCTCAACACGTCCGTCGATAATTTTCCGATCCAGCGAACGTCATTTATCAATCGCTGCGGTGTGATTCATAGTTGGCAAGAAAAGAAAAACAATGAGGGGGATTGCGGAAGCAGCAAATCCATAAAAATGCCATAAAATATGTTCTGCATCTAGGATATTCTTTAAGTCTGTTGTTGTTTTCGAGTTGGACTCGTGTCCTGTGGCTCTGTTATTGAAGGAGCGCTGGCTCCGGACTCCGGTGCTTGTTCTCCTGGCTGGCTCCAGATGCCGGAGCCGGGTCCACTCCAGACGCGTCGCTGGGGGCGCCCCGACGCCGCTCCCCCTTGTTTATTCCACTCCAATGTCGATATTAATATTGCACATGTACAGATAAACATAAAAATTTAATTTATAATGGCTTTGTTTGCTTACTTCGACCCAGATTTTATTTGTTTACCAGTTTAACAGCCGCGAATTATGCGAACGAGATATTTTTGCTCTCACTACGGTAATTTGCATGTGATTTTTGAAGTGAGCATACGAAGCGATGTTACAACAAGTTATGGTTATTTTTTATGGAGTTCCGAACATTTTTAAAGACTTCTTTTCCAAATTAGCTTTCTTTGCCTCCTAACACCCCTCCTCTCAACATTAATCGATTAAACCTATCATTTCTTCCTTCTCTCTCTTTTAAAAAGCAGTTTCTTGTATGTGAACAGTGGCATTTTTTTTTAATTATTTTCTGTAAATATTTTATAATTAGACTTTCTTGACCTAAGACGAACTGCAGGAAAAACAAAATAATACTTGGAATAACAAACGAAAGAATAGGAAATAGTACAGCCAGCAAGAATCTATAATAAACAAATTAAAGAAGCAGCAGCTAGAACGGTATGGGAATGTAATAAAACTACAGAAGAAAGATTAACAAAGAAAGTACACGAGATAGATAGAATGAGGGAAAAAAGACGAGAGAGACCAAGGAAAACATGGATGCAACAAATAGACAAACTAGGGAGATCAAGAAGGAAAAAAATTGGTCGAAGGCTATTTCGATAGAATTTCGTTCGCCCCTGAAATACATAATTTCTCGAATTTTCAAGTTTTAATTTTTCAATTCTTCAGATTTTCATTTCTTAAAGTTTTTGATTTGCAAATTATCGTTTCGGTTTTTCATTTTCATCATTTTTACAATTTTTCGATTTTTCAAAAACACCAAAATCCTCAAATCATCAAAACACCTAAATTACCAGATTCTCAAAACACCAAAACCCTCAAATCCTCAAAACACCAAAATCCTCAAAATACTAAAATCCCCAAATCCTCAGAAAACCATAATGTTCAAATACTCAAAACATCATCATCCTGAAATTCTCAGAACACCACAATCCTCAAAACATCAAAATTCTTAAATCTTCAAAACACCAAAATCACCAAATCTTCAAAACATCAAAATTCTCCAAATCTCAAAACATCTAAATTTTCAAATTCTAAAATCCTCAAAACATCAACATGATCAAATCGTCAAAACACCAAAATCCTCAAATCCTCAAAACACCACGATCTTCAAATCCTCAAGACACCAAAATTCCCAAATCCTCAAAACACCAAAATTCCCAAATCCTCAAAACACTAAAATCCCCAAATCCTCAAACCGTCAAAACACCAAAATCCTCAAAATACCAAAATCGTCACATTGTTAAAACACTAGCATCCTCATGGAAACAGGGGACCACTTTTTTTGTACTCTAGGACCCATGAAACGTTGAGAAAACATAAAAGTGGCAAGTCGCCTAATGGATGCTATTACTATATGTACTTCCTTACCTTACGCTCAGGAAGTAAAAATGACAGTTTTAGCTAGAGATCGAAAACCTTGGAAAAATTGAACCCTCTTACCCTCTAAAGATGATAAATAAGAACAAGAAGAAGGAAAAAAGAAGAAAACATTCTTGGTGTTTCTTGACCATTTCGTGTTG